AGGTTAGCTGACTTTTTAACGCGGATACAATGACAAAAAAATCGTAAGTAGACAAGAGTGGCTCGGTTTTGCACTGCTTCCAGGTGGTTGATGAGGTAGGCCTGATGGGGACTCCAGATGGAAGCTGCATATTCTAATTTTGGTTTGATGAACGTGTCGTACGCCATTTTGCGGACGAGTGGAGGAGCACTGCGCAAGTTACGTCGAATGAAGCCTAGAGTTCTCGATGAGTCAGCATGTATGCCCAAGCAGCACGGAATTTGACCAAGCAATGGCCAATGTCTGGCGATGGTCTTTTGGCCAATGGCCAGGGAGTGACCATTCATTGGCCAATCCTCGGCCGATGGCTGGTGGCCAGTAGCCATTGGCCAGTGGCCAGATAAAGGCCAGTCACCGGCCAGTCTCTGGCCACTGTCTGGCCACTTGGCCAAGGACCATTGCCAGCCATTGGCCGATGACTGGCCAACTCTGTGCTGCTTGGGTGGCTTCAATGTGGTTATTCCATGAGAGGTCCGATGTTAGTCTTACACCAAGATATTTATACATTGAAACGGTTTCGATTAGGTCGGAGCCGAGGAAGTACTGATGATATAGGATAGATTTCTTTCTGGTGAAGGGGATTAATTTACATTTGGATTTGTTTAGTGACATCAACCTGGTGTTTCACCATTGGTTAATTTTTACAAGGTCATCTTGTAGCTGGTTGTGATCATGCACACATGTTACTTGTTATAGACTACGCAGTCGTCTGCGAAGAGGCGAATTTTAGTGGAAATGGTGGAAGGAAGGTCATTGATAAATATTAAAAAAAGCAGAGGCCCGAGAACAGAGCCTTGCGGAACACCAGAGGAGACATTTGTTAAGGTGGACTCGTGATCATTGATGACCGTGAACTGCACGCGGGAGGAAAGGAAGTCGCGTATCCATGCAAACACTAAAGGATCAAGGTGGAGAGAGGACAGCTTGGAAAGGAGACGTTGATGGAGTACACGGTCGAACGCTTTGGGGAAATCAAGAAAGACGGCGTCTGTCTGGGCATGACACTCGAGGTTAGTGTGTAGTTTCTCCTTACTCCGCGGATACGACACTGTCGACGAGAATTCAAGAGCCTACGACGCCTAGAACCTCCGACCACGAGCCATGTCAACTCAAGGAAAAACGGAAGCCTTTTCAGGCAAGTCATGGGCCTCGTTGATTGAACGTCTGATTTTCTACTTCGTTGCGAATGGCATCAGCGCCATAGACAAGAAGCGAGCACTCCTACTCATCGTACGAGCGTTGGTGGCACCCAGCGGACCCGGGGACGTTGAGTTTGACGAACTCGTGACAATCCTCGGCGCTCACATTGATCCTCGACCGTCAAAGCTCTATAGCCGGTACAAGTTTCAGCGGCGAGACCAACTACCGGACGAGTCGATCAACAGCTACGTTGCGGCGCTCAGACATCTGGCGGGTGACTGTAATTTCGGCATCCTGGCTTCCGCAACTACGCGTGTTACATCGACGACGGCGCCACAATCGTCATCGCAGCAACCAACGTCGCAGCAGGCATCCGGTGCAGCGGCTACGGCTGGACAACCAGCAACGCCACAACGGGACACCAAACCGCCGTTGGACGTGATGTTGCGTGACAGGTTTGTCTGCGGCATCCGCGACGAGCTTCTGCAGCAGCGCCTGTTCGCATAAAAAGATTTAACGTTCTCGAGCGCCTTAGATATCGCCATCCGAGCAGAGAGTGCCTCGAAACAACAACAAACCCTATTGGAAAAACCAGCATGAAAATCAAACTGGCCAAGCTGGTAACTAAGCTGGTCAATCTGGTCAATGTGGTAATCAAACTGGTTTAACTGGAAATCAAGCTGGTTTAAGCTGGGCAAGGTAGAATTTAAGCTGGTCAGTCTGGTTTAAGTAAAAACCAGCATGGTCTAACTAGAATCTGGTTTTAGATTCAATCTGGTGTAGCTGGGAGCCAGTCTGGTCCTAACTGGTCAAACTGGTTTTCCATTGAGCCAATGTGGTCAAGCTGGGAGACAAGGTGGTCATGCTGGGAGACAAGCTGGTGAATCTGGTCGAACTAATAATCGTGGTGGTCAAGCTGGTCATGCTGGGAGCGCGGACGCCAAGGTCGGCTAGAGATAGCCGAACTGGCATTGCTGGGAGCGCGCGCGCCAAGGTCGGCTAGGATGGAGCGAGGCCACGTCCTGTTCTTTGTCCTCTCGTTTTTGGTAGACGACAGGGCGCGTCAGGCGCACTGCAAGCTACCTTTGTGTGTGAGAAACGAGAGAGAGGGAGTGGTAGGAACGGAGAATTTTAGGACGCGTTTGGCTATCTTAGGCAGACTTTCGAAGGGACGGCTGTGCGCGCGTTGTTTGGAGACTAGTTGAACGACGATGCAGGCGAAGCGGGTTTTGAGGAGGCAGCGAGCGGCACTTCGTTCGGTGCGGGAAGATGTCGGACGCCCCGACTGAGGCGTCACTTCGTGTCTTCGAACGTGTTTGTGCTCGTGAATGACGGTGGTGCCGAGGAGTATCGCCAATGCCATCCAAGCCACACGGATTTCCTCGCCTCTGCCGACCACGCAAGTTGCCGCTTCGCCCCCATCACTGGTGGGACCCAGGTTCGCCTCTCTCATCCGAGTAGTTTTTTCTTTAGCTATTGCCTGTTTTTAGCGTGTGTCTAGTATTTTTCGTGTTGAAAGATAAACAATATGGTTTTATTAACATTGTTGGCTTTGCACCGAGAACCACTGTCTTTGCGCCGGTTGTACTGTGTCAGCGCCGAGGATATGTAGCGTCTGAGTTCATGTGAGGCGGCCGCAAGTACGAAAATAATAAATTGGATGCCAAGTTGGCTTTTCTGAAGAGCTTGGCTTGTTTATCCTATGTATTAATTTAAACAGGTTAAACTGGTTGGGAAGTCCACCAGCATGACCGGTATAACTAGCATGACCAGCATGCCAAACTGGGCATGCTGGGGCAATAACCCAGCTTGAAGCTGGGACCAGATCAACCAGCATGACCAGCATGCCACACTGGGCATGCTGGGGCAATAACCCAGCTTGAAGCTGGGACCAGATCAACCAGCATGACCAGCATGCCAAGCTGGGCATGCTGGGGCAATAACCCAGCTTGAAGCTGGGACCAGATCAACCAGCATGACCAGCATGCCAAGCTGGGCATGCTGGGGCAATAACCCAGCTTGAAGCTGGGACCAGCTTAAGCTGGATTTTTCAATAGGGAAGCATCAAGAAAAAAGAAGACCTCCAGATCAACAAGACAGGGGCAGCAAATAAAGACGCTGCTTCACGCAGCAATCGACAGTGCTATCGATGCACAGGTCAGCATGACCCATAGGGATGCCGATTAAAAAATACAGAGTGTCGCTACTGCAAAAAGCTTGGACACATCGAAAAAGCATGCATTGCGAAGAAAAATGCAAGTTCGTAGTCACCGAAGCTACAATCCTAGGACACAGGATTGACGCCTCAGGGGTACACACGGCTGCGGACAAGGCGCAAGCAATTATGGATGCTCCAGAGCCAACAGGAAAAACCGAGCTGCAAGCCTTTCTGGGGTTGCTCGCATTTTATGACCCCTTCCTCGAGAACAGAGCCGCAGTCGCATGAGTCCTGTACAAGCTTCTTGAGAAGAATGTTCCTTGGTTGTGAAAGACATTCACCGGGAAGCATTCCAAAAACTTAAAGAACTAGTAAAAAAATTCACGGTCCTTGCACACTATGATGAAAACAAACCCCTGCTCCTTTCCTGCGACGCGTTTCCTTACGGCGTGGGAGCAATACTTGCGCAGAAAGACGCTCTGGGACGTGAGGCTCCAGTGGCTTTTGCGTCACGAACACTAGGGGCTGCGGAGAAAAACTATTCTCAGCTTGATAAGGAAGGGTTAGCCATCGTCTCTGCAGTATGTCACTTCCACGAATAGATCGCTAAACGACAAGTAACCATCTACACGGACCACCAAGCCATTTTGGGAATACTTGGAGGCACAAAACTGATACCACAAGTCTTATCCCCGCGTATGACACGATGGTGCATCAAGCTAAGTGCGTATGACTACGAGTTGAGATACCGACGGGGACGAACACACCAAAACGCAGGCGCTCTGAGCAGGCTGCCTCTACCTGCTCTTGTCGACGAGCCTTGCCCACCTCGCGATGTGCTAATGTTAGCCTGCTCGCCAATTCCACAACTCTGTCCTGAACGCATTGCAGCGCTCACTGAACAAGACAAAGTTCTAACACTCGACTACCAGGCCATACAGCACGGCAGACTAGGAGAGTTAAACAAGGACGAGTGCAGGGCCTACAAAAGTATTGCCAACGAACTTTCGACTCTCAATGGTTGCTTGACCCGAGGTATAAGAGTGGTGATTCCTAGTACAGCGAGAGCTCAAGTACCCGACTTGCTTCACGCTGGACACCGAGGCATAGTGACAATGAAGGCAGCTGCCCGAGGTTACGTTTGGTGGCCTGGAATGAATAAAAACATCGAAGCCAAAGCAAGGGCGTGCAGCATTTGCCAAGAGCACCAACGGGCACCACCTAAGGCACAATCTCCGGAATGGCAACGACCATCGAGACCATGGGATACACTGCACATCGACTTCGCTGGTCCCATTGAAGGTAAAATGTTGCTGATAGCAGTTGACGCCTTCAGTAAATGATTGGAAGTTGGTCAAATGAAAAGTATCAACTCCAGCTCACTGATTCAGGAACTTCGTAACTTGTTCGGAACGTTCGACGTACCACGCAAGGGTGTTAGCGATAATGGTACGTCATTAGTGTCAGACGAGACCGAACAGTTCTTTAAAAATAACGGAGTTCGTCATGTCGCAAGTGCTCCGTATCATCCGGCGACCAATGGTCAAGCGGAAAGGATGGTGTATGAAACCAAACAGGCGTTGTCTAAGGTCAAGACAGGAAGTTTATCATGCCGACTTTCCCGATGTATACTGAAACAGCACACAACAATTGTATCGTTCTTGTGTGGGCTGGTAAGAATAGACAACTCGGGTATCAGGATAACAATGCTTTGGTTTATTCCGTGTTGTTACTTATATAGCCGAAGGTGGAAAGGGGTTAGTGTAGTAGAGGGCAAGGGAAAGGCACGTGGCAATGGAGCATCCAGATAGCTTGTCCGCCTTGATCTGATACGATACATCCTCCTTCCCAACGGTCGTTCACCGCTGAGCTCAACACATCTGGCTCGTTTGCTGGAAGCGCTCGTCATAACCCAATCGCTCCGGAGGCCGCTTCTGTCGTGTTGTCCTTCGCGGTGGCTGAACCGTTGGCTGCTGAGCTGCCGCTTGTAGAGTCGTCGTAGTTGCCGTTTGTAGAGCCGTCGTGATGGTTGGCGCTGTGGATGTCATTCCGTGTGATGAGGCCCGGTCGTTGTCCGAATCTTCGTCGTCTGACAAGTCGACCTCGCATTCTTCCTTCGTCGCTAAAAGGTGTCGACGGTTGCGCCGAAGTACGGTATTATTCTCCGTACGCACGTAAAAGGAACGCGGCCCGGCTGATCCAACTACCTTGGCTTTCCGCGCCCATGACGCTCCATTCAGGCGTACCACGTCGTCGTTTTTAAGGCGGGGCAGCACCCGCTCGTTGTGGCCTGTCTGTCGGTGTTTCTTGACCCGTATCACAGGAAGGGGATCGAAGTCCGGCACGGGTGTGCGCAGCCGCCTTCCTTGCAGCAGCTCGCCAGGAGACCGACCATCTTCGACAGGACATGCCCTGTAATTTAATATGCCAAGCCAAAAGCATTCGTTTGCAACTTTCGTTTTCTTTAAGATGCGTTTGATTATTTGTACACCCTTTTCCGCGAGCCCGTTAGATTGGGGGTATTGCGGGCTGGATTTCACATGTTTGAAATCGTAATGCTTTGCAAACACCGCGAACTCGTGGCTGCTAAACTGTGGGCCGTTATCTGAGCATACCTCCGTTGGGATGCCGTATCTCGAAAATATAGCACTCAGTCTATCAATAACCGAGGTGGCTGTTGTGTCGGGTAGGAGCTCCACCTCTGGGAAATTGGACATCGAATCGTAAACACACAGATAGTGTCTTCCGGAATACTGAAAGAGGTCGACACCGACACGGTACCATGGTTGAGTGGGCGTTGGTTGTAAAATCAGAGGCTCTGATGGTTGCTTATAGGCATATGTTCTGCAGGTTTGGATCAACGACTCGATGTCAGAGTTTATGTTCGGCCAGTAGACTAATTGCCTAGCCCTAGCTTTGCACTTTACCGTGCCAAGATGGCCTGCGTGAATCCTCTTTAACATCTCTCTGCGCATGCTCGTGGGAATTACTACTTTCGTTCCTTTCAAAAGTATGCCGTCTACTACTGAAAGTTCGGCGGCAACTGATTTCAGCGCCCCTTCCACTTCGTCTCCCCTCCCGAGCTTTCGTAGTACTACGCTAAGATACGGATCAGTAGCGGTTTCGTGTGCAAGTTTCGCAGCCGTTTTTTCACTTACGAGTGCTGATACGACTGTGACGGCGTGAATTTCTACGTCGCCCGTGTCGGCGGCCCCCTTGTTCCCAGGAGCAGGAGATCGAGAAAGCATATCAGCCAAGGCCATCTGCTTGCCAGGAACAAATATCAACGTGTAATCGTATTTGAGCAATCGTAGGAAAAAACGTTGCACTCTTGGCGGCATATCGGCTATGCCTTTCCTAGATATGTTTATCAGCGGGCTGTGGTCGCTCTCGAGTATGAGTGGGCGACCATACACAAAATGGTTAAACTTTTCGCAACCGAAAACCAACGCCAAAGCCTCTTTTTCAATTTGCGAATATCTCTGTTCCGATTCACTCAGCGCTCTCGACGCGTAAGCGACCGGTTTCCAGCAGTCCCCATGACGTTGTAGGAGTGCGGAGCCAATGCCACTTTGAGATGCGTCTGAAGTTATCTTCGTCTCCAAACCTAGGTCAAAAATAGCAAGCAGCGGTGCCTCGCTTAGATCCTGACATATGGCTTGCCACTCGTTTTCATGATTAGGTGTCCATTCAAAAATGACGTCCTGTTTGATCAGGGAACGCAGAGTCGAAGTGCGCTGGGAAAGTGACGGTAGATACTTGCTAAAATAGTTAACAACCCCGAGCAACCTTTGTACTGCCAATTTGTCTTGTGGCTTTGGCATTTTGAGAAGACCGTCCACAAGGGCGGGATTGGGGCTAATGCCTTTGTGGCTAATGATGTCGCCCAGGAACAAAATTTCTTGAACGCCGAATTGGCATTTGGCTGCATTAAAAGTTAGGCCCGCTGCTTCAGCTGCCTTTAGTGCATCGTGCAGCCTCTGGTCATGCTCCGTCCTAGTCGCACCCCAGATCAGCATATCGTCCACGTATACACGTATGCCAGGAAGGCCCTCGAACACTTCGTTGAGGGCTTTTTGAAACACCTCACTAGCTGACGCTATACCGAATGGAAGGCGTAGAAAGCGATAACGGCCGAACGGCGTGGCAAACGTGCATATCTTGGATGATTGCTCGTCCAGCGGGATTTGGTGAAACCCCGCGTTCGCGTCTAGACGCGAGAAAAACTTCGCGCCTGCCAAGTCCGCTTCAATATCTTCTCTACGAGGCATTTGGTAGTGTTCTCTTTTCAGGTTTTCATTAATCCTTCTGGGATCCATGCATACCCGCAACTTGCTGTCTTTTTTTAGTACAATGACTAACGGGCTTACCCAGTCCGTCGGGCTGCTGACCTTCTGAATGATGCCTTCGCGTTCCATTCGGTCCAGCTCTGCACGAAGAGGCTCTCGCAGCGACAGGGGAACCCTTCGAGCTGGCTGAACGATTGGCACGGCGTCCTTGCGTAGCACCATCTTGTATTCTTTCGGGGTACGCCCGGTTCCGTGGAAAAGCTGCGGGAATTCCTCGAAGACTGCTTCGGTGTTGCTCGTCGACACGCCTTCAACAGCGCGATTGACGATGCCTAGCTTCTCGCTAGCTGCCAAGCCCAAGATAGCGCTGTGGCCGTTCTTTACCACGAAAAATTCGGCGCATATCTGGCGGTCGCCTACCGTCACGGGCGATAAAAATGTACCGACGTGCTTGATGACGTTGCCACCGTAGGATCTCAGAACAGCGCCGCTGGGTTTCAGCGTCACGGTCTTGAACTTGCGGAATACTGATAGTGGTAACACGTTAGCTTGTGACCCTGTGTCAACTTTGAAACTTAGGTGTTTGCCTTGAAGACACGCGTCCACCAGCCAGTCGCGTTTTTTGTTGGCGCTGCCGACTGCGATATCCAGCACCTCGAAGTCGTCGTTTTCATGCTGTACCTCGTAAACGGCATCTTTCTCGCGGCAACAAGATGCGAAGTGGTTCCGCCCATTGCACGAGTAGCAGGTCTTTCCGTATGCCGGGCAGCGTCGCAAGGCATGCCTTCGATTGCAGCGCGTACAGTTCGGGTTGCGCCGGGGGCTTGTCGGAGCGTTCTTGCTGGTCTTCATAGCGTTAACGTCGAGTTCTTCACTTGCCTTACGCCAGACTTCATTTTGACGAGCTGATGTTTCTGCCGCCTTGCATAAGGTGACGACCTTTTCCAAGGTCAGGTGTTTGTCCCTGAGCATCTTCTCTCGAAGCTTCGGCAAGTTGGTTCCAAACACCACTTGGTCGCGTACCATCTCGTCTGCCATGGTCCCGAAGTTGCAGTGCTGCGCTTGTCTCTTCAAGGTACGTAGAAACTGCTCGAACGGTTCCGCCTCGCCCTGCAGACGGGAGCGGAAGACGTATCTTTCGTGAATTTCGTTTTGTTGCTCCACGCAGTATTCTTCGAATTTGGCAGTCACGGTGGCGTAGTCTTCTTTGTTTTCTTCTTCGGTGAACACAAAGTTGTTAAACACGTCCAAGGCTTCCTCTCCCGCCACGCTGAGCAGCAGGGCTGTCTTTGCCGCCTCCGATCTCGGCTTGTCGGTGCTTGCTGTGGCTTGAAGGAAAGGGTCGAACCTCTGACGAAACAGTTTCCAGTTTCTTCCTCCATCAGCTGTCAGTTGTAACGGTTCAGGCAGCCTTAGGTGCTCCATGACGTCGACCTTCACGTTCGGTTCAATCCCACTTCTGACACCATGTATCGTTCTTGTGTGGGCTGGTAAGAATAGACAACTCGGGTATCAGGATAACAATGCTTTGGTTTATTCCGTGTTGTTACTTATATAGCCGAAGGTGGAAAGGGGTTAGTGTAGTAGAGGGCAAGGGAAAGGCACGTGGCAATGGAGCATCCAGATAGCTTGTCCGCCTTGATCTGATACGATACAACAATTAGTCTCACGACGGGAAAGACTCCGGCTACGCTAATGTTTGGTTGTGAGTGGTCAAGCGCAATCACTCTACTACATCCGCAAGCCAGAGGGAGGGATGAGGAGACGTTGGAGACAACTACGTCCCCAAGAAATATTTCGGCTAACCGAGAAGTGTATATCAAAAACTTTGCTGGAAAGTCATCGTGGATCCGAGGAACCGTATTAAAAAGACTGGGATCTCGTTCTTGGATCATCAAAACCGAACAAGGTACGGTACGGCGACATGAAGATCACATAAGGAACACTATAACAGATTCTTCGGAAAACTTGGTCACGGGATCCTCTACAACACGAAATAATAATAATGGTCTACAAGCTGTGCCAGCACAGTGGACCATTCCGACCATTGAGGGACCTGCACCAACCGAGGAGCAAGATGTCCCAGACGCTCAATCGAACATCCTTCCTGTTCCAGGCGCAATTATAACAACGGGTTTGTCTAGGCCTCAACGTCAAAGGCGGCCTCCTCAAAGATACGGCGACGGTATCTGAGGGGGAAGGAGTGTGATGTCTAGCGCGGCGCCACTCGCGCATGGACAGAAGAAGATCGGTTTGCCTGCGAGAGTCGCGTGATCTTTGAGCACGCGAACTCATAGAACTGCGAGCGACTGATGCCGCAAGCCCGACTCCGATGTCCTGGAAAATATACCAACGAGTATTCAGGCTGTAGTGTCTCCTTACTACGCGGATACGACAGATACGAACACACCTAAGCAACCATCGGGACTCGGGGGCGTAGATATTTGTGAATACGCCGACGAAAGTGATATCGTCAAGTATGGTGCGTACTCGTATTATCCAGAGGTTGAGTTTCTTCCAACAACTTCGAATAGCGGAGCTCTCGAAAATATGTATAGTATGTTTGCTATGCATGATATTGCGCTTGAAGTATAACAGACGGTGGCCCGCAATTTACGTCTCATTACTTCAACAGGTTTGCCAGAGTACAGAGCTTTACTCACGTCATTCTGAGTACCCTGTTCCCGAAGTTGAATGGTTTTGCGTGAAGGGGCGTGCATGTCATCAAGGGGTAATCCAGTAAATCCAAGAACGCAAGCGAAGACTTTTGGGTAGGGCTTCTAAACTACCGAAAAATTACTCTGGAAGATGGGAGGCGTCCATCGAATTTTCTAATGAGACGGAGGCTGAATCGCCGAATTCCAGACTTGAGTATGCCCGCCTCCTCAAAGGTATGAAAGCATGTCCCAAACTCGAAGCTCTGCCATGGCCTCCGACCTTTGCAGGGGAGAGATATAGTGCGAATGCGAATCGACAACAGGGGCAAACTAGATCAGGAACAGAAATGCGTAGCACAGCGCAGCCGCCGTCTGCGATTGGTCAGCGGCGCGGCGCTGACCAATCGTAGACGGCGGCGATGTCCAGGACTCTCTGTCCCCCTGGGTCCGACGTGTTGCATAGTGCCCTGTTTAACGGGTTCTACAACACGATACTGGTCCGGAAATGAAGCAAGAAAGTAGATAGGCCTACGTCGATAATGGGGCACAGAGCTCTATCATTTGTTTTGTACCTAATTCCATGCCCATTCGAATGCCGCGTATTGAGTTGTTTCTATAGCTTACAACAATACAGATTTATTACGACAGCTAATTCAGCTTCAGGGTGGTGTCATGCCTATTTTTTCAATAAAATGTTTATATGAAGTAGCGAAACCTGTCCACACAACGGGACAGATCTTAGTTTTGCAAGATACTTCATAGTATTTGTGAGAAAAATCGCGTTCGAGAGGAGGTTGAAAAAACGATTTTCCCAACTGCGCGATGGCGCAACTAAGGCCGGAGGAATAAAGAATACAGCTTTCTACACCGTGTTACGATTCCGGGCCGAGCATGCTCCCACTTCCAAGCGTCGTGGACTTCGAAGATACTGAGGAGCGTTCACTGAGAGGAGAAGACGTTTATATACAGGAATATTTACATCGTCATCTTTCAGCTTTGGCGTCTCAGAAGGGAAGACTCTTGACGAGTCCGAGCACCGGCTAATGTAGCCTCCTTGAAGTGGCGAGGGGGTCCCTGTCCAAGGTCCCGCGAGGGGAAAGGGCACTTTCGTCACCACGGGACGTCTCTGCAGTCTCCCGGGACGCGGACCTCCCACGTGGTCACACCCCGGTCCAAGCATCCCTCTCGTCCCATCTCCCAGAAGATCGCGGGAACAGGCAGCTCTCCCGATCACACGCCGAGACCCAAACGTCTCCACTTGTCTACGTCGTTCGTTAGCACCCCGTTCCGAAGGCCGAGGAAGCGGGCCCCCGTTTCTCAGCGGGGTGTCAGGGGGGTCAGCTCCCGCTGTGCCGGGTGGCCCGCTCGGTGTCGCCCGGAAGCCGCACCCCACCCACGCCGCGTCGGTCGGCATGTTCGGCGGCGCCAGAATGCCGAGCCCGAGTCTCTGGTCACTCGATGGGTGGTCGATGGCGCCGCCAGGAAGCCGAACCTGCCCTCTGGGTGGCCGATCATAACAGCTGTCAAAAGTTTTACGCTTAATTCAAGCATACTTTTCTGCCAGAATTAGTTGAAGTTAACTTATTTGAGCACATATATCAAGCGAAATAAAATGTCAAACTTGGCTTCTGGAACAAATCTTACATAATAAGGCATTTTTCGGAGAATTTTTAAGTCGCTTTAAATTTATGTTCTAATGCTGAAACTTTGTGTGTCGAGTGTTTTATGCTTTGTGAACTTTTAACAAATTAATTTGCGTTATACTGTTGAAAGTGTTTTCTGCATTGCGCCCGGAAATTTCGTCTAAATCGAAAAAGTCAAAAATTTTGCGATTTTTGTGCGGAAATTAAAAAAAATAATCATTCTTGATTTTCTTTAAATTTTACCCGATGGGCCCTTGATGACAGGTAAATACAAATCTGCAAATACATGTTGCATTATTTTTTTTTTAAAGTAATTATGTGACAAGGTCGTGGTCGTATCAATTACAGCTGGGGCGTTTCTGTCTTAACGACTAGTGGTACAGGAGCGACACATGCCACAGTATCCGTACCTGGTCATATTAATGCCCTGGTGCCACGAATCACTCTAAAAATAACACGTGAACTTGTTTTTATTGCTGATGTAGCTCGTATTGCCAATGAATACTAAGCTTTACGGCGAATTCGATCCTTGTTAGTGTGTTCCACTTGGCTGGTTAGATGCTCATCGTGCTACATTTTCAAATTAGTCATTTAATATCAGTATGGCTGAAAAAATAATTTGATTTGTCGTTCAAGGCACCGCTAGGACTGAGCAATGTTACAGGAGCTTTTGGCCCGACCGATGGGAGGGTGTGGCCTGAACGGAAGGTTAAGCCGTTGGTACATTATGGTATTGTTACGTATGGCGTAACTGGACTTCAAGCCGGAGCATAATTGAAGACGCCGCCGGAGGAAAACAAGTGTTTCTTGAGGCAAACTTGCCAAAACATAAGTAATAACCTGCGCCCCCCCCCCCCGCCCCCCCCCCCCCCCCGCCTCCCCCCCTTCCCCCCATGGCAGAAAAGGAGGCCGAAGGTTACACCCGCACGCGACGCGCAAAGGCGATCGCATCTCACCGACTCGAGGCGGCGATACGCGACACCGGCGGCGTCCCTGCGCGGTGTAACATAACCGACCGGGCCTGTGGCGATGGTAAGGAAACACCAACGTCATTCCTCGTGCGGTGGCACAACAGCCGCTCCCCACGGAAGAACAAAGAGAATGGAAGTGTGTGTGTGTGGGGGGGGGGGGGGTGCAAAGACTCCTGGAGAGTTCTGCCGTAGCTAGCAGACGGTACGAATGTACGAAACATGTTTGATGTATGGGCCTGTAGTTGTGTCCGTTCCAGAGCACATTGAGGATTTTCCGCCTATGGTCCAAAACAGCATCTTTACGCGCGGAGCTATTCCGCTATTTGCGACAATCTAACTCATGACTCGGCACATGCATGCTTAGCCTTTTCAAACATTAAGGCGCACCTCAAGGAAAACGCATCAATCTACTCTCGCCTCACTTACGTTAGCGATGGAGCGGCCGCTCATCTTAAAAGCCGGTACCAATTTCACGAGTTGCAGTACAGTGAGCTCAAGACGACGCAGTGGATCTTTTCGGCAACAGGGCAAGCAAGGCAAGAATGCATGCGACGGGGAAAGGGGACTTGTAAAACACCAAGCCACCCTGCAAAAGTTGCAGACGCCTGCCACTGACGCCGTACAAGGTGCGAGTGGGTTTGTATGGGCACTCAAATAAAAATGAAAAACGCCTTTTTGCTCTACGTGGATGGCGAGCTTCAGGCATTTCGAGAGCGAAAAGAACTGGAGTAGGAGCACGCCAAGAGGGTGTCTAGAATCCAGTCGCTTCACATGTGGAAATATGAAAGATCAGATTCGGAGAATTTCTTGTACGTGGCACGCAGCGCGGACTCTGAGTGGAAGAAGCCCTGAGTTCCCTGAACGTGCTCTAGTAGGTTACTTATTTCATCAAACCTGGCTGCGCCCGGATATATTAGAGACTCCTCTCGTCAAATTTCCCGGAGACCGACCCAGGCGTACACCATAGTTTTTCAAGTTCCTATGACCTTCAATATAAAAAAGACCCCGCGGGACAAACGGTTCGAAGGCCTTCCTGCAGCTGGTTTGGCATATCGCGCTTCCAACCACGCTCTTTTCGTCTCGTACGAAATGCGACCTGTGTGAACACAAAGTCTGCTCTGGACTTGGAGCCGTGAGATTTGATCTACGAAAAAGCGGATTGAGCCCGGGAAAAGCGACGGTGGATGGCCAGGTCTGTGCTGGGGAAGCCTTCGCAAGAAGTGTGTGTGTGTGTGTGTGTGTGTGTGTGTGTGTGTGTGTGTGTGTGAGAGAGTGTTTGGTTGGCTTCGTCGAACTGCCGACTAGCCCATCGTGGAATCCACCGTACCACCCCCTTCGGACAATGCAATGGAAGAGGCCGTCACTCCCGGACAATGACAGATTAGACACTCCCTCCACCCGCTAGCTCCACAGTATTGCAATCTGGTTGGTAGTAATTCAGGATTTTAGGAGTTCAGCTTTGAATTGTTTAGTAATTGTTCTTCTTCTGTGAATTCGCCAGGTAAATTTGTACTTTTGCGCCCGCGCACCGGCTGGGTAAAGTGCTAATACTATTTATTGCCACGCTTCGATACCTGTGAACCACATTTTATTACTTATCTTTCTAATTAAATGATCAATTTAATTAAACTCCCGTTATTTAAAAAAAAAACTTGTGTTACGTCCTCTTTATTGACAAGGCCTCACCGCGGTGTAGGCGGGCCGTCTGGTCAGCAGATCTTTCTTCCTTTTATGTTTATAGTGAACCACGAACCTGTGCGCGTGTGACGGCTTACGGCACTTGGTGGCGGCGCTGGCTGATTCTCACAAAGAGCGTTCTAATTGCAAATAAACACCTGCAGGTTTTTGCACTCTATGTCTCTCTCGAAATTTTATAAAAAATATTTCCCCAGATCGACAACCCTCTTGCCCCCTCAACCCAGTCACAGATCATGACTTTTCTGATCGCGGATGAGACGTCGCAGGATATCCTGTTGGAGCGACTTGCGTAGCGCCCGAGCGCACACTTGGCTGTTGCCCCCGACATTGAACCGACATTGAACGGCGCTACCTAAATCTCCCCTAACTCCACCCTGATTTTCTCTCATTCGCCATAGTTTTTCGGGGCATACACTGTTTTGGTTCCACCCTAGCCATGCCCGCCATCGGTGGGGGCAGAAGTTTCCGCAATGTCGCTCGTTTAAGTGATGCCTAGAGAAAAGAATTAAACCATTTTGTCAGCTAGTTTTCGAGCGGTGCCTATAAATACGAATCAAATTATTTTGTCAGTCAGGTACTAATATTAAAGTACTAACCTTAAATGGTAGCACAATGAACATCTAACCAGCCAAGTAAAACACCCTAATAAGGATCGCATACGCGCCGGAACGTTCAGTTTTGATTGACAACAGCAGCCATATCAGCAATGAAACCAAGTTCACGTGCTATTTTATAGTGCTTCATGACGCCTGGGCATTAATATGACCAGGTAGGGATACTGCGGCATGCGTCGCTTATGTACCACTAGTCGTTAAGACAGAAACGCCTTAGCTGTAACTGATGCGACCACGACCTGGTTACACGTTTATTTGTTGTTTTAAATACAAAATAATGCAACATGTTTTGCAGATTTGTAATTAACGGTCATCAAGGGTCCGTTCGGTAAAATTTAAAGAAAATCGAGAATGATAATGTTTTTTAATTGGCGCTCAAAAATTGCAAAGTTTTGACTTTTTCGGTTTTGACAAAATTTTCGGACGCAATGCAGAAAACACTTTCAGCAGCATAACACTAATTAATTTGTGAAAGTTCACAAAGCATGAAACACTCGACACAAAAAGTTTCAGCTTTAGGACATAAATTTAAAGCGACTTAATATTCGCCGAAAAATGCCTCATTATGTAAGATTTGTTCTAAAAGCCAAGTTTGGCATTTTGTTTCGCTTGAAATATAGGCTGATATAAGTTAAATTTGACTAATTCTGGCAGACAAGTATGCTTGAATTAAAGGTAAAACTTTTGACGGTGTAGACAGCTGTATTCCTTATTCCCCTTGCCTTCAGAGTTGCGCCATCGCGCAGTTGGAAAAATCGTTTTATCAACCTTCACTCGAATTCGATTTTTCTCACGAATACAAGGAAGTATCTTGCACAAGTAAGGTCTGTACCGTTGTGTGGAAAGGTTTCGCTACCTCATATAAAATTTAATTGAAAACAAAAAATAGGCATGACACCACCATGACCGTCCTTATCTGAACACACCCAGCAGCCAATCGAGCTCTCACATCCCCAACACTAGCACGTTAAGCTTCGCGAAAGTCGCCTTTTGCTGGTGTTTCATCTGAACCCATCAGCTCTGCCGTCATGGGTTTTTTTTTTTCAGGGGTGAAGAGCCTTTGTTTTTATTATTATATGCTCAAACTCATCTTTGTACCCCAAAGTGATTGCTTTACTTTGTAATCAGTTGTAATATAATATATTTCAATGATGCTATATTCAAGTTCCATGGACACATTTGTCAGGGGCAGCTTAAGACTCTCCGGGCGTCGCGACTTCTGAGCCCCTTCTTAATGCTCCCCATTCAATAAGACTGGACATTATCCGATAAGAACGCCGAAAAACAAATCACGAAGCACAACGCCTTAACTTGCTGGGACATGCACTGAATTTCTTCAGCTCTCAGCATTTCCTGGAAGTACAATTTGACGCATTGCTCAAAATAGTTCACATTTGTTTATTTTTCATGTTGACCGCAATATTGTACAAACTTTCTGGTTGTTTCAGGTATGCTCATTTAATGATAGGTACACATTTGGATTGATTCACTGATCCCTACTTTCTTACTGCCGTTACATTCGCATATCACTCAAATCCATCGATCTCTTCCAGACGAACCCCGCTTGTTTCATGTGGTCCGAAACGGCGATGGAATTTAAATGCTGAAACGAGAGCACAATTCAAAAGGTTTACTCTCACGAACGGCTATACTTGATGTACTTTAGAAATCGTCCCGCGGGTTCTGAAGTACATCGTAAAAAATTCGTCAAACCAGCGCTTTCTAAATCATGCCGCGTTTTCTAAAGTACATCGTAAACAGCTTGTGAACCCTCTTCACCAGGTGCATACTGGAATGCCCACCGAGACAGTGTATGCAAAATTTATGAGTAAAAATAGCAATTGGAGTTATAGAAGACGTCGCGCTGACGAAGCATACTACGCCAGACATGAGAGAGTACCGAGTAGGTATTGGTTTTACCATACGAACATGACCGAAATATTACGATCCTCGTGTGTGCTCTTCGAGTGTGCAATTAACACTTGAGACAAACTGAAAAATATGGGCCGTTCGCACGGCACTCTAAAAGAGGTATTTATCTTCGAGTGTACCCATTTAATCACAAAACTCGTCCGTTAAAAAAAAAAAACAGTATATTTAAAAAAAAATAAAGAAATAAAACACTCACAGTGTCCCGATTGGCCCTTGTGCTGAAGACGTAGAAAAGCTCTCCGATGGCCAGAAGCCCGGCTATTATCAATCCCATGTAGAGAATGGCAAAAGCTCCAGCTAGATCGGCTCCGTGAAGTTGGCGTATCTCCACCGTCTCTCTCTGCGAGTGGTCCTCTCCGTGGACATCGTCGTCGTTGTCACGTCCTCCATCCTCCTCTTCTTCTGAATCGCAAAATCTCTTGGGATTCCACCAGCGCTGTTGAATCCACTGAAGCCTTCCGTTCTCTTGAAGCTTCAATATTCCTTCTGACAGTTTGCTCCGGTAGGGAGAGTCTGCGTGAAATTGAGTTAAATCCTAAAATGACACCACAACGTAGGACCTGCAAAAAGGCGTTTCGTAACTATCTATTGCCATATAAAGGTGGTAAATGGTATCTACAAGTACTAATGCAGTCGCAATGTTGTTGTTTTTTTTATCACACTAGTAAATTACACATTTACGGAGGATAGATAAATACCCTGACACAAATCACGGAGTCTCGCAACACAAAGTCGACTTTATTGCTTTAGTTGGCAAGCTTGCAATTCCGTCAAAGCTTAGGGGCGATGAAGCCCACACGATTACACAGTTATAGTACATCGTCGATGATCGTCCCAACGATTATGGTAAATCCCTACCCAGCTCCTTGGAAGGCCGAGATAATAAAACGCAATGTTTGTCGGGGCAGAATTAGAGAGGTAACAATTAATGTAGTTTATTGAGAGTTTGTCTGTGCATCTAACCTTGTGCTCTTTGCGGCACTTAAGCCAGAAGACCTAGAGCATAGCAGAAGGTCTCAATGTTTTACTTAGTGTCTCAGCACGCAGATGCACATCTGCACACAAACGCACGCGCCACACACACACAGACCCACGCACGTACACGCGCGTGAACAGTTACAAGCTCACGCACAAACACGCGCGCGCAGGCACGTGTGCGCTTTCGGGCGTGCGTATGAAGAGATAACGAGTGAGAAAAATTATATTCTGGAGCACCTGCCTCAAAATGGTGCGCAAGTAAAGACTATCGTTGTATTCTTACTAGTAGAGAAACTCGTAATCATATTTGTGGACGTGACAAGTTTAGAAACGTGTCTTAGAGTTCACAGTGTTTTCAGCGCCATGTTTTAACTTGACTTCGACTTGAAAATTGTTTTTATTACACGTGCTTCGAGGGTTGGCGTTGATCAAGACGCCAACAAAAATGCCTGTGCTCGTGCTGTAAAAATAAATAAATATAAGTACCTCAGGCCGTTCTTAAGTCGTAAAGCACTCACTGTACTCATAAGTAAGAGCACAGCATGCAATGAAAAGAGCTCCGCCATTGAGCTTGTTTCTTGGGCGAGAAAGTGAGCAACGCGCGAAAAGACTGGGCAACTAATGTTGCAAAATTCAAGAGAGCATAGATAAGTACTCCTTAAAGTAAAGCTTCTGGCATCACGCATACATGGTGTTTTCCAGTTTAGAGGGGGACGTATTTTTTATATTAACCAAAGTCGTCTATGCAAATGGGAAAACATTTAAGACGCCTTTGAAATTCACAATTTAGCATTCACATGCACGTTTACACAACGAGCCGATGATTTGTTTGTTCTATTATTTCTCGAATCATGACATAAAGTCGACGTCCAGTTTTTCGTACAATAGTTTACTGCACAAAAAAGCAACATACCTACAAAATGTCGTTACGTGTGTTCACATTATAGAGGTAATTTGGGCTCTGTTGAATAAAAGCCAACCTGAAGTCTCTAACGTGTGCCACTTTCAAGGTAATATGGGCTGGGCAAATACATGTCGGGAGGATATTGTTTATATATAAAAACCTGCTGCAGTTGCATCGCAACACATCACTCCACTCTGCCTTTACATCACCTGCGTCTCGTTCTTGAGCATAGGCCAAACAATATAAATGATTTTGAGATGTGGTTTTCTAAACCTAATTCGTCCTACTGCGACTGCTATATTTCTCCGCAAGCGGGTAACAATAAATGCGACTTATCTTTATCGGTAACTAGCAGCACGGACTCAGTGGCAGTAGAACATACGGATTTTGTTTGTTGCGTGCTACGCACCATTGTAACACGAATTGTGGATCTTTTGAGGCTAGCGGTTGAAGTTGTGAGACGGAGTCGCAAATAAACCGCCAATGTTGATGCAGAATAAAGCAGGCACCGCTACGGCGGCTTAGCGCTAGAAATATATTCCGAGCGGGCACCGGGTTTCAGTACAACGAATCAACGCAGAAAACACTCTCTTTCGGTTTAAAGGCGAGAAGTGGGGGGACGGTTCGCTCCAAAGTGTATTAGACCGTGGTTATGCAAGCAACCGTTGGAATCAATGGGAGTGCGAAATGTATCCTTAAAAATTAATTTTTACCTCTTGGTGTCGCGAAGCCGTAGGCTGAGTGAAAGACGAAAGGGTCCGTCCTTGAGAAATTGCAGTCCTCCTGCGTTGCGTAGGCAGCACTCGCAGTCTCCATGACGAAGGCGACCTTGTCCTCATCTTTCACGCGCTGGAGTCCGTCGCCTACGCTTGTCGGCAGGTTCCGATAGTTTCGCTCCACCAGGGACGATATACGCTGGTGAAGCGGTACCTTCGAGTCCTGTTCCCAGATAAAAAGGGTGACCCAGATTTAAGTGAAATAAAATATGGGCATGACTTTAAAAATCTAGAATAATACCTTGAATTTTGAGTTTACTGGAAAAATATAAATATGGAACCCCTTGGAGAGCTTCAGTGCGACAACAGGGCCCATTAAAAGTATTAGCTAGCTCGGCTGGCCAAGTCATGCTAGCTAAAATCTTGGGAGTTTGCAGAGCTATTCCAGATCTAATAATTTCGAAAACATGCATTAACACGCATCACGTGTTTATTGTAAAAGATGGCACCGGCTAATCAAGGTACGTCTACAAGGTCGCTGTACAATGCGTTCGCTTAGTTGAGATGCATGCCGAATTATACTCAAGTAATAGACACTACTTTCTAACACGATCCCTGCGTTTACTTTCCTGCAGTGCACGCATAGAGAAAATTATCGCGTTGTGAATAAAAAATGCAGTAACTAATAAGGTCGAGGATAGCAGAGTCGGAGAATACGCTATCTTCACATACGATATTTTTCCGTAAATACATCATTTCTGCCCTTGCAGGCACCGGCATCATTCTGTCAAAAGAGGTGATTTATTAAACGCGTGCTCCACGGAAAAGCTGACCCACAGGTTTCATTCACATTCAGTTTGTCGACTACTTGATGTATCAGACAAAATAGCTTGTATTAAATGACACTGTGCTATTTATACGCCTCGTCCTCTCTTATTTCGATGTGGTCTTAATGATATAACCAATGAGAGCATGTGGCAAAGTTTATTGGAGTTTTTTTTTAATTTGCTGGTTCTAGCGATCGCGGAACTGAAAATCTCAGACACCAATGGGAGGCCTTATCGTCACGACTGTGAATTGATGAGGTGATGAAAACTGAAGCAAACTAAACGTTTAATGGGGCAAACTTGTGCCAAAAAATAGACAAAGACTAGCGTCGCACGTGTCGATGGTGGCGAAACAGCAGGATCGAACGCTAGGGCGAGACTGACTCCGGCTCGCCACGCCGAGCCCCTTTTGTACACGTATGGGTTTCGGGAACAATCGGCGTAGACGATTCAGCGCGATCAACATTCTGACCTCGAAGAAGCAGCAAAGTTATCGAATTTTTCAGCACGCGAAAATTTGAAAACTAACACAAAGATGCCTCTGCTTTTAGGCGTCGAACGTCTTCTTTTTGCGGGCAGCCAAACACGATAACCGTTCATCCAAGGGTGCGCTGCCTACTTGGCCAGCTGCGGGCACAGCACTGTACTATGTCACCAGTATTTACATAAATCTGAATAAGGAATGACTAATGCCACTGAGTAGCGATCCTAGGAAAAGGTGCGTGCGCAAACTGCGCAACAGAACCTACACTCTAAAAAAAGTATGTGCGTCTACTTTCACGCACAACGCTCGGAGAGCCAATCAGCGCAACTGACGGAGGCAGCTCAGCGAATGACGATGCCGAAACATATGTTTAGACCAAAAAACGCAGTCTGAGTTGTGACATCAAGCAATGCAAGCGTGACGTTTTGCATTGCTTGATGTCATAACTCAGACTACGTTTTCTGGTCTAAACATATGTTTCGGCATCGTCATTCGCTCAGCTGCCTCCGTATGTTGCGCTGATTGGCTCTCCGAGTGTTGTGCGTGAAAGTAGACGCACAGACTTTTTTAAACTGTACCGCAAAAAAAAACAAAAAAACTTTGTGTGTTTCTCTTTTTTTTGTTAATTTACCTAAAGAAAAAATTGACGAAGCCCAAAGTTACCGTTAGATTCGCGTCTAAAATTGCCACTGGCTGTCAGCTCTAGTAACTTGAATGTTAACCTTTCATTATAAAAAAGAAAAAAAAAAACATTGGCCACAGAAACCAAAATTGTTGGTTGTCCTGAATCGCGGATAGCATTCGTCATGCGACTAACGACTCAGATAACAGTTAATACGACGACGCAAGTTTTGAGTAAACAGATTTTTTTATTACTGGTTTACGACGCAATCACTGACGTCCGCGCGACTGCAGCGCGCCATTTAGAAACTGAGTGATTGGTTCGCCTATGTGTAATCGTTTAAAGTTCAAGTTCTTTCCCCACCATTATTGCAGCTCAGTCTCTGTGTCGTGTCTTGTCGCTGTGCTGTTGTTTGATGTTTAAGGTGTTTCCCCACCATCCTTGACCACATACTAACTTGCTCAACTCAAGCCGATAATGGCTTTGTAGCTTCGGTTCAAATGTGAATCTGCAGGTACTGGCTCTCCGTGTGTGCTGGCGCGGGTTTATCTCCTTCCTAGGACGACTTCTAGACTACCTCTAGGACAACCTCTAGGGAGAGCTTAAGGACGACCTTTAGGACGACTTCAACAACGGCGTCCTAAAGGACGACTTTAAAAACGACGTCTAGGAAGACTTTTAGGACGAAGTCCTAGATGTCGTCCTGGACGTTGTCCTAAAAGTCGTCCTCAACGTCGTCCTAGAGGACGGCGCATTCGAGGTCAGATACCGTATCGCGAAAACCGCGTGAGGTAGCTAAAGGATCCTACTGCATAAAAACTCGAAATACTTCATAATGATTGCTTGTGTTTTAGCAATGTCAGATGGAGCTGTTAAGCACCTTTAGTAGAAAGGACAATCTCCTAAATGGAGAAGGCATTCGTGCCACACGGCAGTGCAAACGCTCCTTCCCCCAAAGCATCCTTTTCGGAAAAGAAGCTCGCTAGCATCCTTTAGTACAAGAGAAGTACCCTCTACAGTATGCGCTAACGGCATTGGAGGTGAACTGGCGCATCATTTCGTCTTTCTGGAGTTAGAACTTTGAACGACTGACCTCGAGATTTTTTTTAGGTGTTGGCTGGCGGATCAGTATCCTTGAAACGCTTTTGTTCATAATTAGAAACTTAACTGCTCCAGAGCCGATCTGTATGTTCTTCCTCCTCACGCGTATCGGGCTATTATAACAACTCGATGGCGCGCTCACTCATTTTTCGGGTATTGCTGGTATAAATCATTAAACTCGGACATATATCCTTTTCAGATTTTAACCGTGGGAAGATACTAGATTAAATGATTCATAGGTTTCAGTAAGCAGGCATTATTCCAGTGCACTGTAAATTTAACATGCTGTCGTGGCTGCCGGTGTACGCCTATGACGCGAAATCTACTTGAGAATGTTTCCTTTCATTATTATTGGAATTGTCTGCGTTCCGAAAATTGCCCGTAAAAAAAGTATTAACTTGACATGTTTTAAACGATTAAACAAATTTAGAATCATATTTTTTGTTTCGGTTTTATCTTCGTGTGGCCAGTTTTCAAGGAATCAATATCGGTGGCAAATAGCATTTCGCCGGCCGGATGATAGCACTTCCTTTAGCTCAATATAATTTAGCGGAAAGGATAGTTCATGAAAAGGAGCTTTTGAACATCGTCTGACACGGGTATTAATTAACCATGTAAAGACGTGTACATTTCAGTTACGCTGGAAAATCATTGGTAATTTACAGTCTCGACGAAGAAGAGCGATCCACATCGTGCGGCATTATCTTTCTCCAGTAATGCACCCTCTCTCAAAATCGCATCGAGCAACATTGGTGTTCGCCATTCTTTGGGCATAAAGTACGTAAATGGATCCGAGCCCTCTCGTACGCTGCCGCTGAGCTCGTTTTCATTGCGAGCTGAGCCGAGTTCGCGCCGAATGCTGACGTAACCCTCGTGTCCAGTTTCATGCTCAAGGTACGTGCCCACAAAATGGCGGATTCGGATAGTTAGCTCAATAGCTACTAGATGGCACTCACGTTTGAAAGAATACCAATTTGCAACCGTAAGCTGCATGTACGTACATTGTATTACCTTGATGCGTTTCTTAATACAAAATTTCATCAGTCATTCTGAGGCTAGTTCATTCTGACAACTGGACCGGACATTATGAGGCAATCGCATCTTCGTAAAAAAAAAAAAAGAAACTTCTAGCATAAAGATACTTGCATCATGTCCCAGTACAGGTCTGTTCTGCGCTACTGCGCAGAGATTGTTTAATTCCCAGGGGCCCTATAACTGCAAGCTTTCCAAAGGGCGTTAGAAAAGCTGTCCCGTGCACGTTTCAAGTCCGCAAACTGAAGCTGTCGTCTGATGTTATGTTTGGTGGAGTGTCGCTTGCGCATCGAGGAAATTTCGAGCAATAAAAAATCGAGCTACACCCAAGCATTCCTCATGAGTTGTGAATGCGAAAGCATGCAAGCCGCTCGTCCGCTCCCTTTTGCTTCTGCTGCGTCGTTTTCGTTGCCGGTCGGCGCGTGTGCTCCCCTGGTGACCTTAAACGCCCCGCGCTGATGGACAAGCAGCCCCATGGGGTGAGTGGTCGTGGAAACTGACAAGCGCAGCGTCCAATGGAAGCCCCGTCGACGCGCGCCAGCCAATGGAACCGAAGGAAGCTATCTGCCGTTTTCGCGCTTCAGACTTATGACGTCAGCTCGCTCCATGATACAGTTAATTCTTTCGTAATAAAATCCTCCCAATATACCAGACGCCCAGATTACTACACGCGGAAATTTCGTTCTCCTCTTCTCTCATTTCTTTCTGCTACCGTTAGAAGCCCTGAGTGGTTAAATATGTGCTTATGATGTCGAATTTAATTATGACGCAACTGAAAGAGAAAATACGAAAATGCTTCGTCAGCTGATTTAGGAAGCCTCTAGAATTCAGGAGATTATAGGCTATGTAATAATTAAAAATAATAATGAAAGCACGTGACTTAATATTGTCCACGAAGCAATTTTGATGTGAATTCCATAAATAAAGTTACACTCAGTTACAATCAACTACGTTACTTGTAAGAGAGGAGTAAAAAAGTGGCCCATGACTTTGTTATTTCTAATTTATTGTAATTTAGCATAAAAATAAATTCTTCACTGAAAAATTAGAAGGGACCTTCTGGAATCCTCAGAATGACTGCGAATGTTTCTCCTGCATTTTTTTTTGCAACGGAATAATAGTCAATTTCAGTGAGTGAGCTCTGGATCATAAGATGTTACTTTTGCTACAGGAAAAACAACCCGTCGTTCAAAATTAATAGCACTTAGGATGGGAAAAGTAATAGCCACGAAAAATCTTGAAAAGTACATTACACGGTAATAAGGTTGCTCCTTATGAAAACTTTTCTGCCATAGACACCTTTGAATGTCCTGCGAGCTACCTTGGCGGTCGTCATTTGCTTGGACCCGTATTGTCTGATTGGATCGGAGTCGTCCTAAATCACTGGCGCAGCCATGCTTATGCCATTTAATGCAGCGAAGATCAAACAGATCTCACGCACTTAAAATAAATCTCGACGCAGTGTTTTGAAAGCTCCCACTCTTACTTTGAGCACAGAATGAGTCTGAGTGTTTTTTTTTTCTCTTTTATTCAGGAGCTACTATTATTTTAATCAAAGGTAACAACAATAGAAATAATTTTATTTTCGACAAAAACCGAGTATCATTCTTTATTATTTCGCCAATATGAATACAAACAAAAACTTACTTATGAACATTTGGATGTGTGACTCAACAAAATTACAAATAAAGAGTGAAGAAATTCCTGACGTTACTTCCGTCTTTCTTTATTCTAATAAAACGCCTTAATGGACCACTAAAATGCTTTTTTAAGGTGTAGTATAAAAATGTAGATCGCCTTACTGAACGAAAAGAAGATTTAGTTTTTCAATGGCATCTTTTTTATTAGCTAAGCTTTTACTGCGATATGTTTTCACACAGATGCAGCACTCCATACCTTCGTTGTGAATTACAGTGGCAAAGCTTGCAAAACACAATATTTAGGCTAATCGAAACTTCCTTAGGTTAATTTGTCCCTCGCTGTCTGACGGCCGAAAGACTGTTATGTAAATTAATTGCGCAGTAAGCTGTGTTAGGTACGGGCAACGACTTCCGATGTTAATTTCAGTATATATTAAACTTCTCTTTGATGTAAATGACAAAAAAGCGTATGTAATCTTCTTCCTGGCTGTGTGGCGCTATACTGCACGACACCGCGAGCGCCAGCAAAAAACAGGAAGAATTTTTTTTCTCTAAAATTGCCGTGACCGCATCAAAAATTATATGGTGTTGGAAAGTGCGTAATTGGGACACTAACCTAGGCGGTAAGATCATGTACTTGTCAATATTCTTTTGTAGTAAAATGCTAGAAAACGCCCATGTTGTGTGCATGCTAACAATTTCGAACATGTACAGTACATATCTTACACCACGTACCGGTAGCTGCGCTGCGAAAGCAGCTTCAAAATAACAAACAAGCTCCCTGCTTGCCAGGCATCTCTAGTTATGTTAAACAAGAAAACGGCACCAGCGCTACACAACATGCGTATGTTGGCACGATAATTTCGGGTTTCCTAATGACCTCCTAATTAGACCGGTTTGTCGCGTTAGCCTTGCCAAAATGCGGCCATTTATCGTGAAAGCTCTTTATTTCTGGGGACCGCGGTTCTTTCAAGGACCCGTGTCCGAGCACACGAGGCAGTTTACAAAGATGCGTCGTTAGAATACATTTAGACTTTACAAGTCTGGCGTTCCCACCCGGTTATCCTTTTGTGGAGCCATGAAAATTGTGTTTGATTACTTTCATTGGAGACACTGAGCCGTTGGTTATTTTTCAAGATTTCTGAAGCCCTCAGTTCACGAAAACTTACAGGATAACGCGGTTTTTACGTTTCCGAGTATAAACTTTATACATTGAGAAGAATGTAAGATATATGCGATATTGGGCGAGCTCGTAAACGTATTACTACTGTGAAAATAGAGATCTTGCTGGAACATCGAACACCACCGTGGCGTCGTCTAGGATAGGGTGTGTGTGTTTGTGTGTGGGGGGGGGGGGGGAGTGATGCTGCCTCCCATTGGCCGCGATAACATATACATAGGGCTCGCCGCGCGCTTCGTTTCTTAAGTTCTCACTGACAACAAATTGTTTTACTTGAGCAAGCACACCAAGAAATCCAGAAAATTATTGGACTCTTGATTTTTGTGTCAATATTACAGTCAATATTGCGTGAAAAGTTTGAGCACGTGAGCATCCTCAAAAGCCTCAACTTCTAAGAATCCACCAAATCCCGAAAGGAGCAAGCAGGTGCCTGTAGGGCGAACTCAGAAGTTGCATCCTCTGACGGTGCTTCTTCCAGACTACATTTCACGCTGTAATCAACCAGTCAAAATAATAAGAAGACTTTGTGCACAAATAATTTAATATTTTTTTTTTTAAGAATTCAGCACTCGAATCACGTAGGCAACATATACCGGTATGGTGAACTCAAACGTTGCACGCTGGGAAGTTGCTTCTTCAAGATTACATCTTATGCTAAGGTCAACTACGTGATAAGTAGTTTTTATGCACAAGCACCTTAACAAATTCGTTTTTTAAAGGATTGAACATTCAACTCACGCAGGCAGCAGATGTCCGTAGGTTTAACTCAAAAGTAGCAGCTTGAGAGGATGCTTCTTTAAGAATACATCCAATGTCATGCTTAACAAGTCAACATAATACGCATTTTGACTGCGCAATTATTACCGAAAACCTTCAAAATTAGGAGTTCAGAGTATTTTCACGAATGACAAATGATGAGGCGATTGTAACTTAAGGAATTAAACGTTTGATGGAGCGAACTTGTGTCCAAAACAAAAAAGAAACAAAATATAACAGTAGAGCAGGATTGCATGCTTGGGCGAGACCGACTCCGCCTCTGCATGCGGAGCCCCTTATGTACGCGCGTGGGATTCTGGAACAATCGGCGTAAAACGTTCAACGCGGAGAACATTCGGGCCTCGAACAAGCGACAGGATTCTCAAATTTACCAGAACACCAAATTGCAAGAATAAATAAAAGACACGTCGCTCCGAGGAATCGTACCCTGACTCGTCGCGTGGGAGGCAAACACGATAACCGTTAGGCCAAGGCCGCGCTGCCTACTTGGCCAGCTGCGCGCGCGGCAATATAAAATATGGAGGAAAGAGATGCTCGTAGAGTGAACTCAAAAGTTGTATCCTGGGAAGATGCTTCTTCAAGAAAACATCTTACGCTGTGGTAACCTAGTCACCATGATTGGTAGTTTTATGGGTCAATACCTTAATAAATGTTGTTTTAAGAATTCAGCATCCATATTATGCAAGCAGCAGATGCCGGTGTGGTGAGTCAAAAGTAGCATCCTGGGAAGATACTTCATTAAGAAAACGACTAACGCGACGGCACATTTACCTGGAGAAACTTCTGCGAGCTCCCATGATGCACGACGACGTAGGTGAAACCTCGCGCTCGGAGCAGTTCCTGGGCGGTGTCGTAGTCTGGACCATCATCTTCCCAGAGAATGCTTTCACAAAGGTTGCTCACAATGATGGCCAGAATGATGAAGGTGAAGAAGTACCAGAAGCCAGCCAATACCCGGGTGGCTGGAGCTCTGAAAATATAAATGAGTTAATCTAGTATATACTCACCATTTCCCCCAAACGATTAGGGACCTATATTTACCGTGCCACGCACCATCGGAAATCTCCACTCGTGAGCTTATTTGCTAGTATTTCACCAATACAAATTATGTGAATTATGAAAAAAAATATATATATATTTTCTTTTTGTTTGCAATTTCTTTCGTAGTTTTGAAGTGAAACATTTTTTATGCAATAGCCTACGATCCACTCTTGCAGTTCAAAAGTCATTCGCATGTTAAACAAAGTCAAAGAAATGTACATATGATATGTATTGAAAGAAATATTTGAGCAGTTATTCGTCACTTATACACAAATTGCAGCCACATGCAATGCGATACATTGTTAGCTCAGATGTAGTATCAACGCAATTTTGCATAATCAAGAGTTTTTACTTGGTATCAAGTTCTACCGCTTTAGTTTGTACCGCAACTGAACAATTTCTACTACACTAGTAGTTTTCATGTGAGCTCCTCAATTAAACAATAAGTCGATAACCGATGTTCTTCTAATGTGTGTGTACCATGTTCCTCTAGTAAGCGTTAAGGCCCGTTAACACTCTTGCGACCGAGTACGACCGAGAGAGACGAGATTTGTTGAAACCTCTTAAAATTTCTTAGGATAAGGGAACACATTGGCATTGTGGCGCCATCTATGCGGCGACCCTAGAACTGCATTTCACAAGAGCGCAGCTTTTGTTGGCTTTCCGACGTCAAATGTGCGTAATACCTATAATAAAGGCTCGTTTATTACGTTGACCGAATTTTTTCGAGCCAAGAGAGAAAGGATAATGCGCCTGAGAAATAGAAAATATGCCGGACCGCCAAGTTTACGCTGCTACCCAATAGATAGCGCCAGTGTGTCCTCTTGTAAAAAGGTATCATGGCACCCAGTTCTTAGAGGTCGCAAGGGTGTGAACGGGCCTTGAGTCATTGGTCCTTACGTGTTTTAGAAATGGCACTGTGAGACTAACTTGCGTAATATGTAAAATATATAAAAAATTGTCAAAAATATCGTGCTTTTTTTTACAACGGTTACATTTGGCGACTGCACAGACATTACAGATTTTAGGTGGGGAAACAGTGCGAGGCGGCCGAATTCTTGTCGTGGTCTTCTGCATAAATGTGATTTTTTTTTATGCATGTTGGTTTTTATTACTTGTAGAGCACGTTGCAAAGTATCAAGAGGCTTAAAAACGTATTGAAACAGCCCCGCCATCCTGCTCTCTCTGCTTCGCCGCATTTGCAAACCTACGTTGTGAGAGTGGACACCAATTCTTAAAAAGTCGTTGACAAAGAAAAGCGGATTCCTTGTTTATTTCAAATTAAGTAAGAAAGAGAACTATCATAAAAAAGTGCAGTTAATAAAAGTACACCCATAAAATATTCCCCAGAATCTCTTTTTTTTACAAATTTGTTTTGTTTCGCCGACAAAGCGAAAAAAATTCTTCTACAGCTGCAGCAATATTCCACAATACCGTTGCTTTAAAGTGCAATCTTATGTTTCTGGTTGATGACGATAAAATTTAAAACAAGTTGCAAGAGATATATTTTACCTTCCTGGCAACAGTGCTGGCTATTTGTTCAACTAGCATGTCGAAGCCCTAATGGCTTTCATTCAAAACCATGCCCGGGCATTTACCTTTCTCCGGAGCACACTCCGAACAGGTTATTTTAATCTCAGAAATATTGTATTAGTTACATGCCCGACACAACATTTGTGCGGTACAATATGACCTTCGTTAAGCCCATACAGGTAATATTGCATATGCAGTGCTCTCTAAGCGCCTATCGTAGCTTTTTCTGAAATAACTTAATATGCTTTGTCATTTGAAATGCTTGCCTTCATAGAATTTTTTATTCGCTCACAAAAAGATGCGCATGAAACGGGGTATGCGATGCTTCTTAGACAGTGGTTACCCCGCACCAGAACGAGGCATTCTTAGGTACCAAGTCACAGTTCACTATTGATTGCACCCTCTAACGTATCCTTCTCATGATAGTTTAAAAACGAGCTGATATTAAAAGCTTATCGTTGTATATGCTTTGAATCCCTATTCAGCTTCTCTAGTATTTGCTAAACATTGACGGACATCAACATCTGCTCCTTATATCAACCTCAAACTTATTGTCTCTTCTTGAATGCCCCGGTTCATTCATAGCAGCTCGATTATTATGTATGATTCGGGAACAGTAGGCGTCATTAAAACAATATTTCACCTTTGAGTCTTTTGAATGCATAGGAAACAGGCATCAGACGTAAATTAAGATACGCCGTGTCTGCTTGTAATAAAAACGAATAAAACGTCGAACAAACCGAATTAAAATATCCAATATTTAGCAGACAGGTTTATGTTGTGATTACCCTCATGGTTCGATGATGTTTCTTCGGGCTTTACACCCCTATGGTGCATTCGAAACTGGAGTTTGGCTCTGTAATTCGGAGCTGTCTGGGTGTAACCAGCTTTGAGGGCCTAGAACGTGTGCGCAGAAAGTTATCACGGATTTTGTAGAATAATTTGTTTCGGCCGCGGTTCTTTTTTTAAGGAAAATTTCATGTTGCATAAGCTAAACTCGTAAACTTTGGTAGCTCGCCGGAGTTTTCGAGAATGCTTATTTTTGTATAAAACTGTACATAGCAGAATACGTCGCCTTAGATTTGTTTTTCTGCTCTCTTTATACATCCCTCACGTGAACTGTAGTCACCACTACACGTTATATTTACAAGATATCTGTTCATTTTTCTCCATCTACACATTCAGAGCTATCTTAATGCACTGAGTGGGGTTGTAGAAATTTTCCGGAGTGAGCGGGAATTTAAAAGTGCACCAACCATCCACATTTACTAACACCAGTGTTTTGTTTTCTGTGCGTTCTGTTATATTATGTTTTTTTTTTCTAATTTTGATATAAGTGTATATGTATATTAGTGTGTACCAGTATGTAGGCCCCCGCGGTGTCTGGACGCAAGACAAATCGATAAAAAATGTTTTTTAATAAGATTGGACGTTTTTTTTCACAAATCAATGATGGCATTACCTTTTCATTGTTATTTTACAAACTCTTCCATACCCAAACACTACATAAGCATATATTTCTTTTTATATCCCCCTGCGATCAACCGTTTCTTCCTTCAAAGTACTGTTTCAATATTTCAGCTATAACTAAAGTCATTTGAGCCTAGAATGGCCATCAGGAGGACATCATTGCACCACTGATTGTCACGTATTGAGGAACTACGTACTAAAACCTGTAAAAGCATTTTTGTTTAATCCTTATAATTCACCGTGATGCTAACATTAAATCGTAATTTATTTCGTTGGGCGTGATTTTTTATCTGTTTACGAGACGTGTTTCTGGTGATTTCCCAGTTTTTGCGTGGTAAAATGAACCCATCGTACAGAAAACAGAGTGAGTATAAGGGTATACGAAAGACAGCGGTTATGTTGTGTACACCCTTGGAAAACAGTGATTGTGTTGTGTACACCCTGCAAAGCAGCCCCTTGTCTTGAGTTGACTTTTCTACTTCGTCTTTCATTTTGTGCGCTGGTTGTATATGTTTTATTATTTGTGAACCAGCTACCCCTCATCGCCACCCTAATTTGTGCGTTTATCAGATTTTTTAATCCGCATATTTCGTAATTTCTGTATTGAACTTGTGGGCATTGGCATACATTGACCACCCACAGATGAAAAAGAAGAAAAGGAGAGGGAAGGAGCGCGCGGCTCCTTCCTTCTCACTACATAAATATGTAGTATTTATGTAGCGCACTACATAAATATGTAGTGCCAAGACTTTGGTTCCTACAAACTGATTTGTTTTATAAACTTCAGCATAATTTGAATAATTATTATTTAACGCCAGTACCTCTCGTATGTTCTTTTTTATATTGTGTGAACTGCTTTCCCTTATGTAATGTCCTGCAATATGCTTTTATTTTCGTGTCAGTAGACGCTCTCAAGGTAATTTCACTAAATATCTGTTTCGATAAAAACTATTCCCTTGAATGAGCTCCTGTCACAAACACGGTCAACCAAATCCGTTTTGCCACTGACGTTGAATTGTTTGCGGCTTAGCTTTCGCAGAAAAAATAAAAGCTGAAATTTTTATTGAAATATTTTAGTGCGTTTAAAACACAGTGTGATTAATTAAATTTCCACTTACATTTCGCACTCCATTTAGCTCCAACAAAAATATTTCGTAAGAAGATATTATATTATAAGCGGATTACAGCTCCCAACAGGGAGACCTCACAACGACCTTCGCTATGACTGACAGCCAATATAGTACACGAAATATTTGCCTAACTGCAAATACAACAAAACAAATTAAAAAAAAAAACTTTTTGTTGAAGTGTGCATGTTATCTATACCTAAGAAGAATTCTAATATTTATATATCGGCAATGCCATTATCGCCTATTGTCGAGGGCTGTCCATTTCGTTGGGAATTGCCTTCCGCTGCTTTCCCGAATATGCATTATTTTTAAGGGGACAGGGCATTGACGGCGCCGAAGGGCACGGCTTTTTTTTCACTTTTTGATAAAACGTCTTCTCGAAAAAGAGAGCTTATCGGCTCCGTCTCACCATATAATAAATAAATCATCTTTCGGATAGTCGAGTTCCGTTCTCAAACAAGAAGCTTAGGCCCTTAGGCTTAGCATTGATCCACGCTTAGGTAAGACGGAGTACATTAACATGCGAAACTCGTTCAGCTTCCAGTTTTCTCTTTATTATTTTTTTCAATAGCTTCTTCTATGGTAACAACCGGCTTTTGAAAACCTGCGTCTCAAAATTTAAAAGTGAGGCTGTTGTCAAGGTATGAAAAATTAATGTGGTCATTTGAATTCTTAGCCAACCCAAGCGTAAGTGGCACCGATACTCGAGTCGCCGTCTGCGCAATAGATGCCGGGCACGGCTTTTTACGTTCCCGATTGTTGCTTTGTGCTTTGTTTTCAGCACTCTTTGTACATAATGCCGGAGCCTCATTGACTGCAGAGCGATCATAATGCGATGTTCAATTACCCTGAGACTGGGTTAGAAGAGACGTCAAAACATAAAAGGGAAAAAAAAAGAGAGAGGACGATGTCGCGTAACTTCTTTTCCTCTTTATTGTCGGTCCCTTCTACGTTTCGATGTGTATCTTCCACCCCAGTCCTAGGTTAATTCAACACGGTTAAAATTCCCCAGCTCGCCTGCACCTTTACTATATTTTTTTTTATCTGGTCATAACACGCTGGGGCCTTTCCAAACCCTGCATTTTTGTAACAGTCAGCAACTACAGCATGTGAGCTAAAGCTTCTAAGGCATTTAGACAGCCCGTAAAAAAACGCTTTTTTAAACGGATTGCAATGCACTTCACAGCAGAGGCGCAACCAAGTGATGGATGTTTACAACGAAAAAATAAAGGAATAAACTGACATCGTTCGAAACACACACACACACAAAAAAAAATTGTTTTGTACAATCTATGCCGTGACTTCGCAGACGGTGCAGCCATACAGAGAAGTGCTGCCGACAGATGGCATATCCCGTGTCGAGGGAGCGCGGGCCGATTCGGGATGACAGCAGACGACCTCGGAAAAAGAACCCTAATCGGGATGACAACAGATGACCTCGCAAGAAGTACCCTAATCGGCCGGCGCTCCCTCGACGCGGCATACGCCATCTGTCGGCAGCACTGCCCCGCGTCCGTGCATCGTCTGCGAAGTTGCGGAGTAAATTTCCCAAAAACAGGCTCTTGTGTTGTTCTGGGTTTTTTTTTTAGAACTAGGTAAACTAATTCCTTGATATTTTCACTGTAAACTTCCACCACCTGCTGCCACCTCTGTAGTAAATTAAAGCGCGATGCGTTGAGAAGCTGGTTTACATGCAGGCAGTCTAAATTGCGTTGGAAGCGTTAGTTGATATGCTGAGTAAAAAATACAAATAAACTAGGCAGGAGGACTTTCGTTTCCCACGGGAATGAATGTCTTTCAGACGTGACAAGTTATTCGTTGTGATCGCAACTGGGAGCCACACATTAGCATCACCTGGGATCCAGCGTGATCCTCTGGTGCAGCAGGGTGGTGACCACGAAGAGGAAACAGTTGAAGAGATTGAACCTATTCTCCATGCATTCTTCGCCCTTGCCGTCTTCCACCAGCGTCCATTCTCTGAAGCTGAGACGGGCGCCGATGTACATGACGAATATTGTGCACGTCGTCGCCAAGATGACGTAGACCCACACCTTGGGGGCATACAAAATCGTCAATCGAGGGGAACGTTTTCGAGATAAGTGTGGCGAAAAAACAATGCTCATCTTCTCTACGATTGTTTAGCAAGTAGTCATCCCTAGTTTGTGTCGGGCAGTAAAGTTGCGTTGAGACTTAGTTCAGAAATATATATTAAATAATATAGGAGAAGGAAACAAATATGGAATCTAAACCAAAAAAAAAAACGTCCGCGTCTATTTAATTGAAAATATAAAGAGAAGATATATGAGCTGGGAGATAACCTACCAGGTTAAACAGACGCAGTTCAAAAAGATAAGAAGGGAAAAAAGGTTGATATTATACGAGTAAGGGAATAGCGTGTAAAAATCCTAGTTGTGCAAGATGTAATATTTCCTCTCCAGGTATGTCCATAAATAGTCTCAGCTCAGCGAGGTTTTATTAGAATACAAAGTCATCAGATCTTCTAGCCCACGAAGTTAGGACCCGTTAAAAAGATTTGACGACAGCTTTAAAAAAGAAACTATTCAAATAGCTAATTTAGCATTTTTTTACGTAACGAGAATTTTCACTAAAAGTTATCGCTTGAAAAACCAAAATGTGATTGTGAGATTTGTTTTTCTCTGCTTTGAATTATAAATAAAATAACTGGTATGGTCACTTGCCCAAAAGATCACTTTATCTTAGAGTAAGATACATGGAAGCTCATATACCTTCCTAATGAAGGTAAGTGAAAAAACAAAATCCACTAAGAGGTAGTCTTCTGAAAAACAAAAATGTTTCCCGTGTCCGTAGAATTATCAGAAACGAAATGAAAAGTAGGACTTTACCTCTCGCGTTAGCGGTAGAAAGAAGGACCAAATTCCTCCTGGCCTCATCGGTTCACCTTTCTTTGTGACAATCGCAAGGCCCGTGCTCATGAACGGAAGTGTGAAGTCAACCACACGTTCCCTTTGTTCTGTGATGGTCAGATCTGCCATGGCCAAATCCGCGTTCTGCCAAAACGGAAAACCGCAATATTAGGAGTTACTTTGTAAGAAAATCTTCGCGCGATTTTTCAAAATTATTCGCTTTTACGAGGAACAGAGAGAATGAGAGCTTATGGTCTTGTAATTTTTCCTTTCTTGACATGATGCTTATGTTAATACCACGGCCGAATAAAGCCTCTTTAGGAGGCAACTTATGGCGGCGTTTGCCTTGAATATCGGTCATTGAGAGAAATTAAAATGGTGACACAATTGTTTTCTTATCAGTGAGTGCCATTAACTTATAAATATAACAATGGTTATGCTGAAAACAAAATGTTGTATGAATTAAAAATGAAACATCGTATGCTCAAACAGTGAGGCGCCGTCCGACCAGCATAATGAATTCATAAGTCACCCAAACTGCCGTTCTATCCACCCTCTCTGGGGTTGAACATCTTTTCGCGCTCTTAAGCATGAAAGACAAATTTTACACTTCACAGTTTAATACTTGTTGACTAAATAAAATAAGATTGCTAAAAGTATTGCAAATAATACATTTTAAGGCGAATGCCTTATATGTTCCATTACGTGAAAAGGCGTCGGCCTTGTGTCCGAAAGATATCCATAATAATACATCATCAAGCGGTCAAAGCGGACGCATCTGAGAAATAAACCACAAAGAAAAGCACAGCAACCCAGATGCGTCGTCGCGGAAGCCGTGAAGATGGCGGGGGCGCCGCGCCTGCTCAATGGCGGAGCGTTATATCACCGCCGGAGCGCAGCGGGCACCGAATCCGCACATACCCTACACAATACCGGTAGAAACAACTTTAAGACGTGTAAAAGCTTTACTCGAAAACAATTCATCCGCAAAATTATAATGCTTTAGCATTCCTACACGTAAGCAATCTAAATGTCCTCGGCGAGTTTTTTTTTTTTTTTTTATTTATTAGTTTAATATTGCAAGAAGTTGTGTACTTACTCTAGTTCCTCGGATAGTTTTACACAAGAGCTTGATTTGTAGAAGTGACCTCTACATTAAGTTGTTGCTTTTTTGTTTTGTTTTTTAGAAATAAAAGCTACAAATTTGTGTTTACAATTGTAATAGGTGTGGCCTGAGCCGTTCGATACGGATTGTAACGTTCTTTTTAGTACACGTGTAACGAAAACTTTTTAATAACGGTGAATTCAACTTTTACTGCGGATAACATATTGTGCACGCAGTTTATTTCAACATATAAATGCAACTAAGAGGCATTTGGAGGCCATAGATGCTTATTTTTTTCAATATGTTTATGGATACTCGACTTAAAAAAAGAAAAAAAAAACTTGTTGAACAGCACAGATTTGTTGTACATTTTAAGGACGTCCCAGACTCGAACTCAGCGGGGAGCAAAACGATTAAGCTAACACTTCATTTGGAGTTCGATCTTTCATTTCGCGCCATCTCGGAAAACTGCCGGCTCTACTCGAGAGGTGGTGCGCAGAGTCTTGGGTGCGTAAAAATATTGATTAGGCACTTGGAAAGTTGCCAATAATGGTGCCGCATCACATTGACAGATGGCGCCACGAATGCGTTCCTTCACAAGTACCCAGACATAGTGCGCCAAATTCAAAGCGATTTTCTCGGTTGTTTTCTTTGCATATTAGCAAATGATGAAAAGTGTTTTAGTTTTCTTCACAGTATTATCTTATTTTTCAGCTAACGTATAGGCCAGGCGCTTGTGTGAGAAATGACTGAAAGTTTAAGCGGATACATATAGTGCATTTCGGTTTAGGATACGGTTATCTAGGACTAGCAAGGCCATATCAATTGTACCGAGTGTAAAAAAAAATATTCGCACCGCAAAAAAAGAAAAAAATAAATATATAGAAAATTACACCCTTTTAGTCTGCCCAATTTGAGATCAAACCTCCCATATGAGGCAGGCTGAGAGGGACCAATTTTTAATTTTCACGAAAACAAACAAAATGTTTTGGGGGCCTTTCTCAACTGAATGAGGGCCCAAACCGCATGTTCCGCAGATTTTTCGTTCTCGAATTACGACGCGTAGAAGCCGCAGTGGCAGAAACTAGTGTTTTTGCCTGCCGTCGCAGGTCGCGTGTTTGAAACCCTCTGCTGGCGCTAGTGCTTTTCCTACACCCTTTTAACTTTTCCCCCTCGTTTAATGGGTATTATAAAGATACCTTCACGTATTCAAACATTTCTAATAGTTTGATTGTTTTCTAAAACAAAATGTCAAACACATCACTCAGGTCGAATTTTGGCCAAATTGAGAGGTCATTACTTTGTCTGTACTTAAGGTACATTTTATTTCTCTGTCTCTATATAAAGCCCTAAGCATTTCTAGTATAGATATAATAATATCATTACGATCTGCTGAGTAGCCGCTCCGCTACCTTCACGTAAACGTTGTGAGAAATAACAAATGTTCACACATTTCACGTGAATGCGACTCGAATAGAGGACATACAATTAAACTATTACATTTCTAGATTCTTTTTCTTGTAGTCGACTAATATATCTAAAAAAATTTAAAAAAATAAAAATTTACAAAATTTTGTTTTTTAGAAAATCGACTTCAAACTTTCAACATTTGTTATTTATAACAACGTTTACGTGAAGGTAGCGGAGCGGCTACTCAACAGATCGTAATGATATTGTTATACCTATAATGGGCTTGCTTTGGGCTTTCTGTAGAGCCAAAGAAAAAAAATTTACCTGAAGTACAGTCAAAGTTTTTGGTCAAAGTTTTTGGTCAAATTTGACCAAAAAACGACCGGAGTGACGAGTATGACATTTTTTTTTAGAAAACAATCAAATCCTTAAACAATTTTCAATACAACAAGGTATCTTTATAGTACCTATTGAATGAGGGGTGAAAGTTAAGAGGGTGTAGAAACACTAGCGCCAGCAGAGGGTTTCAAACATGCGGCGGCAGGCAAAAACACTAGTTTCTGCCACTGCCGCTTCTACGCGTCGTAACTCGAGAAAAAAAATCTGGGGAACATGCGGTTTGCGCCCTCATTCATTTAAGAAAGGGCCCCAAATCATATATTTTTTCGTCAAAATTAAAAATTAGACCGTTTCAGCCTGCCCGATATCGCAGGTTTCATCTCAAATCGGGCAGACTAAAACGGTCTAATTTTCCCTCTCTCTCTATATATATATATATATTTTTTTTGCAATGAGAATTTTTTTTTGTCTTTTTTTACACTCGGTACAATTGATATGGCCTTGCCAGTCCTAGATAACCGTATCCTAAACCGAAATGCACTATATGTATCCGCTTAAACTTTCAGTCATTTCTCACACAAGCGCCTGGCCTATACGTGAGCTGAAAAATAAGATAATACTGTGAAGAAAACTAAAACACTTTTCATCATTTGCTAATATGCAAAGAAAACAACCGAGAAAATTGCTTTGAATTTGGCGCACTATGTCTGGGTATTTGTCAAGGAACGCATTCGTGGCGCCATCTGTCAATGTGATGCGGGACCATTACTAGCAACTGTCCAAGTGCCTAATCAATATTTTTATGCACCCACGACTCTCTCTCCCTCTCTCTCTCTCTCTCTTTATATATATATATATATATATATATATATATATATGATGAAGAGCGGTCTCCGCTCGAAACATCGTAATAAAATTCTAACTCCAACAGTGCGCATTTTGACTTATTATTTTTTCGATCCATTGTGTTTATATTTAGCTTACTTCACCTATATATATTACCTTCAGTTTCGTTTCCGCCTAAATCTGGCGCTAGCGGTTGTGAATATATTCTAATATTTTTCAGCTCGCGCGTATCCCAAGCAGCACGGATTTTGGCCAAGTAATGGCCAATGTCTGGCGATGGTCTTTTGGCCAGTGGCCAGAGAGTGGCCATTCATTGACCAATGCTTGGCCGATGGCTGATGGCCAATGGCCATTGGCCAATGGCCAGATAAAGGACAGTCACCGGCCAGTCTCTAGCCACTGTCTGGCCACTTGGCCAAGGACCATTGCCAGCCATTGGCCGATGACTGGCCAACTCTGTGCTGCTTGGGATGTACTTAGAAAGTCATAAGGAATTCTGCGAGTTTTCTATCTGGAAATGGCGACCAACAGTGTTTGCCAATACATGGAGAGAAGTTGCTGACGCTAGTGTGAGCGCGTCTTGTATTCTCGTTGAAAGTTTGTAAAACTCCATTATAAATATCGAATTAAATAATGGTTATATATTTTCTACATTTTGGCGTATATTTGGCAGAAACTAACCGAAGAGTTTCTTTTTTCATCTTGATGAAAAAAAAAATGAGTTTGTTTTTCTCCCAAACAGCCGTACATAGGTTTGCAATGCGTCAATTATTTAGGCAATGCTCTACGACTATACACCTGGGGTCTTTGACCTGCATCTATTGGAGGACTGACACGCACACAAATGGGTGCCAGTCAAACACCCGTTAATTAAGAAATGGACAGGAGGGTCTATTACACTTATGCTCCTTGAAACTGTAGTACGAGTTTTGTTGACAATATTTTTACAAAAGTAAGAGAGTACGTATGCGGAGTCACAGCAGCTGTGTGTTAAAGTATTAGATTGACGAACCTTTTGATATTGGATACCGCTCCACAACTGACAGTGCCTAAATCATAGATCAAGCAAAAAAAAAATGCGCGACGATTACACGACGTGATGCGTTTAGACAGTGGCAGCAATGTCGTGTCGTATTTTGCCACCTAATTTAGCGGGGAAACTGAAATGATGCATAGGTCACGAGACGCCAATTTTTCCGCTACATTTTGCGGGGAACCTGAATTCATCCGTAGGTCTGGTGACGTCAGGTCCTGTGACATCGATTTTCCCGCGAAATCGACCGGAGAGGCAGAGCCGGTGATCAGTGGACATGGCGTCAAATCTTTCCGCTAAATTTCGCGGGGAACCTGAATTTGTCTGTAGGTCCCGTGACGTCAGGTCCTGTGACATAAATTTTCGCGGGAAAATTTAGCGAGGAAAATTAACTAATCCATAGGTCACGTGGCTTACATTTTCCGCTATATTAAGTGGGGAACCTGAATTTGTCTATAGGTCCCGCGACGTCATGTTAAGTGACATCAATTTTCCCGCCAAATATATCGGGAAGAATGTTTTTTTACGCTCTTGCCTTCGGCAATCCGGGGGATATAACACTAACAGCGGCCGCTGCACCAAAAAAAAAAAAAGACATGAAATTTTAACTTTCAGTTTCAGAAGCAAAGGTGAAATAAACTTCCGTTTTTACTTTTCCCTTCTTCTCTGAGCTATTTATTGATGAACCCAGAGTTTCAAATTGCCCAGAAATTGTGCGAAATATTTTTGAGCGTACAACCGATAGCCTAGAGCCAGTTGTTTTATTTAGAAAATTATTGATAGCAAGACTACTAGTGAATATGACTAGGCATATATATCAAGCCTTTCTTTCAAATCTCACCAACAATAATCAAAGTATTTCAGAAGATGACGTTTTTTCCAGCAATACCCACGAACCGAATACGTTGATTTCATGATGTCAGAGTACATATTGATGATTGCAGGATACTCTAATTTTGCAAAATCGCATCCTATGACATGGGTCTCCTCAAGAAAACCAAAGTAGATGTGGGAGGTGAGCCGGTGCTAATTAGTGATGTGCCAAAAAGGATAGACGTCAAACTCGCTAAAAAGATTAGACGCTCCTTCGAAACACAAATATCAGCATAAAAAGATAAAATCATCCAATTACAATCCCGCCGAGCGATTCTGTGGCAAAAATAAAATAACATAATCGGATTAGCAGCGAAGCGTCTGCCTTCCCATCAAAAAACTTCAGTTTTTGCTTGATCTTTTGGAGGGACTTAGTGCTCAGAATTTTTTTTTCTTTCAAGAGTAATTTGGCAGATGAAGAACTACCTGCACATGTAGTGGAAGAATTACCAGTCAAGTAAAACGCTACGCCTGTTATTTTTTTACCTTGACTTTTGTTTCGACCTTCTTGGCACGTTGATCATGCCACAGCAGAACAAACTATTAAGTTCTCAATTGATTGAAACATTTTACCGAAACCAGAAATCTGATATCTCAAACTACGAAAAGCTTTATGTAATGTGCGGTTCCTAGGTGGCGTTATGACTGCAAACCGCAAGCTGCATTAGACTGCTCATTTGAACTCTCGGCAAACAGCAATGCACTGAAGGTATATGGCAAATATGACCTTCATTAAGGTTTTTTTGTTTCAGTGGAGGAACTCGCTTTATATATCAAATACCTGAGGCGTCATGAATTGATGGGCTCCCTTTAAAACCTACTGGGGAAATTCCCACCTGCACATCAAGAGCTCAAGCTTTCACCCAAAGGTGAGGTATTGCACTCCATATTACTCGTGAAATTGCAAGGCTTTATGTGAACACCTATATCTAAATTCATTATATTTGTAATGGCAACCTGAAGTTGAGACCATGTTAAAGGAAAGTTTTGCCTGAGGCGCCGTTTCCTAGAAAGGACATCAAGGTGACGACGACGTTATTTTTATTCAACAAAATGGCGTCGTCTGAGTTGTGTGCAGATCAAAAATGAGCTCCACGAGACCAGGCTTTGAGTAGTTCGGTCGTCTGCGTCGGCGTCTGCTGTCGAAAAGGTCAAGCTTGGCTGTTAGTTTTTGTTTGTTTTTTTTTTACAAGAAGGAAACTGCGCCCCGAACTTTTACAAGGTGAATTGTTGCACTACAATTTGAAGTTAATGAGCGTTTGAGCGCTTAACTTTGAAGTGTAGATTTTCCCTACTAATTTTACAGTAAGTACCTCGACTCGTAACACCCTATACTTTATGTAGTTCTAGTGTACCTCTTATTTCAGTGTGACTGTACGCTCAGCTACTGCGAAGGTCTCAGTTCTGCTTTTGCGGCGTACACACGCCAACTGTTGTTTTTAAGCAGCACAAAAAAGATCCGATAGTGCATTGAACGCCTTCAAGGGACATATTAACTTGGTTTCTTAACATAACGCTCTACGATTTGCAACAGACGTGCCATAGAATAGGTATGCCTTTTATATAAAGGTGTAAAGGCGTGAGGTCACCTAAGTGAAACAAAAATGCAAAAGTGTTTTGTATGAACAAGGTTTGAACAAATCTTATATTGATAAGTCATCAAATCTCATTGTGTGTTAGAATGGCACTTAGTACGACACAAAACTACAGGCGAAATGAAAAGGAAACAAAATTGCTGAAGCTTTCTTCAGATAAAAAAATAAATTTTAGCAGACACCATAGAACTGTATTTGCCTCATTCTCGTACCAAACTCTTATACCCTAAAGGCTTCCCTCCTTCGCACACCTCACCTCAAATGTATTGCTCTGTAAATAAAGAAGGTATGGTAATCAAAAATAAACAATTACTCTAAATTAACATTGTAACTTTCATAAAATGTTATCAGCAATTTATCCTCTGAATATAAACAAATACCACGAAAGGAAAAAAGAAATGATTTTTGCAAGTCACAAGATAGCGCACAAAAGATATGACTAACTTACTCCATTAGTAAGCTCTCCGACCATCCCGTTCCATTGTCCGTCCTCTTGGAGCGATCCGTACCTTCCGTCGTACGATGCGTGGAGCTCGTACTTGAAGTCGAGCATCGCGGACAGCTCTTGCAGCAAGTCGACGCAGAAGCCGCTGAATTTGGGCGAACCGTCCTCGTCGTTATTCACTATAACGAACGGTCTGCTCTGAAAGAAGCCCAAGCGACACATGCCCCCAATGAAAGACGGACCGATTAGTTTGGCCGGGTCTTCTTGCTTGACTTCATTCAGACGGGTGATTAAAGTACATTGAAGGCAGAATAAAGCAGACCCGAAACGATTGAATAGAAGATTGAACGGTGGGTGGGATAAGTGCAGGCATGCGACTCTGGAAGCATCTCGGTGATGAGACAAGGATACAAGTCAAATAGAAGGGCTTAACAAGAAAGCTGTTTGCGAGCCAAGACGAGTGGTTCTCATTTCACTTGGCAAGAATAGTTCAGACACATTTTAGAATGAAATATTTACGGGACGTCGTTCACAAACTAGTTTGTCGCAGTTGATGGGTGACCGCAGATATAAAAAGAAAACTTGATATAGAAATGAAAATCTTCCTATTCGGGCACATATGTGGTATGAGGTTTTTGTGAACAAAGACGTCACATTCATTTTCTCGAAGAGCACGCTAAACCTAATCAACAGAATTTATGAATTGAGAGCAGCGAACAAATTGTCTTATCTGAACACAGGATTCGAATCTGTTGCGCTGAGTATGTAAGCATCTCCTAATACTTACGTAATTATACTGATCTTCACAATAAGCATTTGAATGTGCATATGGGTTAGAATCAGTGCGCCCCAGCAAACGACTGTTTTTAAGTCAAGGCTTGTCAGTATCTTGTGATTATTTTTGGCTAATCCCATCACAATCGTTATTAGCACTTCACGTGCTCTGAGGTTTGTTAAAAAAAAAAAAAAAAAAAAAAGCCTTGTATTGCCTAAAAATATACGCCTGTAAAATTTCTCTCCCTAAAAGTTATTGCACTCTTCTTACTTCTCGCCATATATATTGAATTGCTTACATTTATACATGTGTCAGTAAATGAAGGATATTTAGGTATTCACTCAAAATAAATTACGTTGTCGTTAATACTGCGCTGCTTTTGATTTATTTGAAACCTAAGCTTTCAAAGAGAGTGAGAGAGAGAGGCACTTACTGGTGCTAGCGTACACATTGTGTGATTATTTGCCAGTACACAAGTAAAGTAGAAAAAGGACCCATGAAAGTGCTTGCTTATTTCTACTTTTGATATTCTGTTTAAAATTGTATTTTCAATACTTGGCTGGATTCGCGCTGCCTAGGTGCTTTTTCAAAAGTCCATCATACCCCCGAAAAGCAAGTATGAGTCTTCATAACTGAGCTTAATTATCTTAGTTGTTTCTTGCATTTTTTGTTTTTGTTTTTTACATTGCCAAACTTTTTTTTGTGCTTTGTATATTATTAGGGTAGAAGCCCCGTCAGAGATGCCTCCCACGAAAAGGTAGTAATGTCTATAAACAAAAGATAACGTTATGTTCATATTTTCTTTGCTTGAAGGCTCCCTTTATGTTTGCGTTCAAGTTGTAACAATGTAATATCAAGCAATGAGAACGTAGCGTATTTTGCGAGCGACATTCTATGGCGTAAACATTCAGGTGCCACCTGTCAGAAAATTGAAGCATTCTGGACAGCAAGCTACCGAGATATGTGCTATTCGTCAGGCTGGGCTTGGTTTGTTTCAGAGATTATTCTAACATGCAATCTCGCAAATTCATACTGAGTTTTCAGTTGTTGCTAACTCAACGCCGTATATTACATGAAACGTGATTGCAGGCAACTAAATGTCTGCTCGTAAGCGCGGAGAAAATTACCTAGTGCGACGCCTAAGCACTCAATCATGAAAACAAATTTAGAAAGTCTCAATGTTTGTCTTAATTTTTTGGCAGACGTAGTGACGTATTTCCTAAATTGTATTGGCGTAAGTAAGAGACTGCCCAACTATAAATAAAACTTCGGTAACTTTAGTAATTTTTACGAAAATACTATCTTAATATCCCCTTATGTTTTATTAAGGTGATGTAATAAGGACACGGCAGCTATACAACCTAAAGAGCTTTAAATACTTTCTTTTTATTTACTTTTTGCATTGACGAGATGAAAACGTTTTTTTATAGTTTCCCTGTATTCCGTATGCTCACTTTAATATTTACCATACATGCTAAGTTGAAAGTTGCCCATTGTGTTCGTTCATGAACTCGCTGTCTTGCTGTTTCCCTTTCTTTTTATTTCTCTCGTTCGTCGTTCCCAATAAACATATACGCCATTCCGAAATGACAAGGCGTGATTATCTATACTGAACATTTGTGATCGCTGGATGATGAATGGTAAAAAATAACAAATTGTGTCGAGTACAAATTGTTTTGTTGACCTCTAGGAAGCCCTATGAATATCAGCATTAGTTTATGTGGACCATTGTGAAAAATCTCGAGAGGGCAATCCAAATCGAAATTGCAGTGCAAATCTTTTTGGACTTACTGGGATAATGTAGCTTTAGCAGTAATAATAAAGTGGCCTAGATTTATCAAGCAGCATAGTTATGAAGCTGCTATGCGGGACAATATTAATTTATATGAACTTTGCTAATTCAATAACGACATTGCAAATGACGCTTGTATATCTTTGAGCGGATTGGGTCTTCCCAATACAGTGCGAACCATAGTTTACTTTTATACTTATGCAATACGAAACTTACAGAGATTACCACTACACGAAGTACAACATCATCTCCCTTTTCCTCCTCGTCCTTGGTGATGTTGAGTCCTGACGTCGGGGACCACGTTCCAATCTGAAATCAAACTTATCTGTCAGATAAAGACAAGTTTTCCATAATTCTTGATAGCTATATAGAGAGGACGCATTCGAAGTTAAAGCGGTCTATCATTTTTATATACCCTACAGCAGGTGTCTCAAACTAATCTGAATATGGGGGCCAGAGAGACCGGCCCTCCGTCGGCCCTCTCAGTAAAAATAATCAACATATTAGTGGATATCACGAAGCAAAGAAGCCGAGTCTCTTAGTGGCACATTTGAGACTTCCTATACAAGGGACCTCGTGCTCTTTGCTTTCCGTAAACTCTTCGTTTTTTCTATATACAACTGCTTTCTTCTAAAGCAGTGGTATACAAAAATCATAACACTCGTTTTGATTTCTTCATACGACTGCTTTTGGTGACACACACACTGTGTGTGTGCATCTCTGCGTGTGTGCGTGTGTGCGTGTGTGCGTGTGTGCGTGTGCGCGTGTGCGTGTGAGCGTGTGTGTGTGCGTTTGTGCGTGTGTGTGTGCGCGCGTTTGTGCATGTGTCTGTGCGTGTGTGTACGTGCGTGCGCGTGTGCATCCGTGCGTCCGTGCGTGCGTGCGTGGGTGCGGGCGTGGGTGTGTGTGTGTGTGTGTGCGTGTGTGTGCGCGTGCGCGTGCGCGTGCGCGTGTGTGTTTGTATGTGTGTGTGTGTGTGTCGTCTTTTCCTCACCTGCAGTCTCAGGGTTGTGTTAAGTCTAACTTCACCAGCTCCTTTGCGCCCTGACTTTCTCTTCAACGAGCTTTCATGTTTCACTAGAACAAGACAGCAAGCACCCTGTCGTTGCCGTGTTCCTGAAGTCACTCGGGAATTAAACACACTCAGCGTGTCTCAAAAAAGGCTCTTTCAAACGAAGTTTTCGCAAGCCTGAAGACTTTTATGGCCGCATTATAGTACAGTTATGTATTAATGGGACTTGTTGACTGCTAGAAACCCGAACTTATGGCTTTATCTTGGGAATTACTCCTGGGCCCGTTTTCTCGAACGCGAACCGTGGGTTAAAGTTAAGTATTGTCCCTAGAAGAGGGAATTCTAGGTCACGTGACTGGGAGAGCAGGGGCGCCGAGGGAGGAGCAGTACCTATAAGCAAAATGGCCGCAACGTCACTTAATGAGGGTCGACGTTACTAAAACACTCAGTTGGGAAACTCGTCGTCGAAACCTGGGCCGCTGGCGTCCACCGAGACCGAGCTAAATGCGACAACACCGCCACTCTTTATCGTTTGTCTGTACTGTGGTCACCATGAGCTTTTTGAAAGCCTGTTTTTGCGTAAAAACAAACGGAAAAGACTCTTTTTGTATGAAATTTATTGGAGTTTAGTACTAAATGATGGGCGCGTGATGTTTTTATCATCTTTAGTTCGCAAGGTTTTGCGGAACAATTAATATTGTTTTCATACAACTATGCCTCAGCGGGCCTTTCAGGTAGCACGTCATGACCTAGGTGCATTTTAACGTCGGTCGTTGAACGCGGCGCGTCCGGCGGGGAGACGGCGGTGGCATCCCTGTAACCCATACCGTGTATCTGTTCTTAAAGCCAAAATAGAAGTCACGTGCAGTTCTTCGAGAGGCCGCTGCGGGAGAAATGGTGGCGTTGTGTTCGTCATTAGCTCGGTGCTCGGAGACAGATTGGGGCGACTTTTTCAAAGCTGTCTCTATGGGAGTTTCCCAACTGGGTGTTTAGTAACGTTGATGAGGGCTAATAGTTCTTCTAGGTTTAGGTTCTGCTGAACATTCATTTCGATCCGGCTGTTATATTAATGACGCACCATCAACCTATTAGCACGTCAAGCAAAGCGGTAGCTCAGAGGGACTACTAAACTAACCGACGGCAGCAATCCGCGAACGCATCACTCTTCAGCAGTCCGGGATCCAAGACATGACGGTACATAAGCCTTGCAAGTGTTTTCAGGGTGAGTGAAAAAATGTTTTGCGAACGAGTGTTTGTATATATTTACACTAACACGTTTAATTTGTTACACTATGCACGCCAACACAATAGCAGCGATTACTTTGCGAAGAAAGGGGTTATCCTCGATAAATTCTTCGTTCCGGGTGAACAGCTGGTACATTGTACTGTTTTTTTGTTCGCAGTGCGCCGACAGTATGCCGACAGCATCGAGGTTTCTGCATATCCCCGGTGGCCACCAATTCAACGGTGACGAGAAGCTTAGCTCCCCGTCACCGGTGGATCGGTTGGGCAAAAGGAAAAAGGGGCAAAAAGTTGAGATCAGTAGGAATCGCAGAAACGTGCGTCGCAAGGAACAAAAACGAGACTACAGCACCGGTGTTGCCAGGCTGGAAAGCACAAGGGAAATTTATGCGTTGTTTATGGCGAAACATATTGAAGGAAATGTTTCTTACTTTTCCGAATATTAAACTCTAGCATAGTAGCTAAAATTTCTTCGTACCATCTGAATCAAATAAATTGGTTTTCAAGTACAACATTACTATATTTTGACTTAAAATACCATACTAGATCGATAACAACCAGCGGACAAAAAGGATAAACAAAATGACTGGCTTGTTTTACCGTTAGATGGCGCATCTTACTGCCCAATCAAAAATAATTATTGTTTTATATCCAGCCGTTTATTACAGTACTTAGGTACTTTTTCCTTCCTAGGCACCGTGGTTTACCAAAATGGGTTTACCATCGCTTCGAGAAAACCGGCCCTGGTGAGAAACTTCCAGCTCAATACGTTCCACGTCATCGTGCAGCTGAAATGCGTCCCAAAACGTTCGTGCTTGTAGCATGGTAGTAGGATTGTCGTACAGGTGAATTATATGAAAGAAATCCGAGAAGCTAAAAAAGGTACAAAGCAATGCTCAGTGCAAAAAAAAAAAAATAATAGTCAAAAACATTTGAGACTGTTTTAAGAGCAAAGATACCCTTCGAGCGTAAGTGAACTACAACAGACCATTATTCACGACACATATAGCGCGCGTGACATGAGAACGGGGATTCGTATCCTCTTGTTACTTGGGAGATTCTTCTGACCGAGTCGCGGGCCGCATATTTGACAGCCCTGTTCTAAAGTAACGCAAGACAACATATTGTCTTTTGCCTTGATCGCGCGAATGCAGGAATTGGCGCACTGCATTCGATGGCACACTTGGCTCGCTGGGCACATGGCACAATTGGCATACTCCCTCCGATGAACCAAATGTCCTCGCTATATGGTAATTGACTGGTTGAGCGCCTCTTTTCAAATTCCCGCCTCCAGCACGCCTTGGTTGAATTCCGCCGTCATTTTGCTGCTGGCACGCTCAAAGATCAGAAGATGTCTAATAGCGAGTTCGTTTCACACGCACCGGCACCGTTCGAGTTCTCTCTCAGAATACATCGCACTCGCGGAGTGTCGCATGGAAAGCTGGCCTCAAACAAACTTGCCAAATGCACCGAGTTCAGAAGACTGATGCTCTCGCCATCTATGTTGTACAAAGAGTACCGACTTCAAACTGAAACTAGCGCCTTTCTGTTCGAGAGTGCATTCGCTGCCAACGTTTATCTATAAACGCTGGTCGCTGCAACTTGTACTTTTTATTTCCGATGACTTCAAGCAACTCGGCGGTCGTAGAGATATTAACAGGCGGCATAAATTTTCGGAACCAGCTGAGCACAAAGCAAATGGATGCGATCTTTCAATTCTTATAGCCGTTTATACTGGAGAAATCTGATGATGCTGTCCGCGCAGAGGCTTGATCCGTTTGAGCATGGTATTATGCGTGAGCCACTGAAAGGGTAAGGCTTAAAACTAGGCTGTCGGAATATCCAGCAAAAAGTTTGGTGGGACATTTGATTTCGATTGTCGTTACAGGTCGATCAGATTTTAGCCTTGGTGAGGGCGTCGAGAACGGTAGCTTTCTCAAACAAAATACGACGGCGCAAGATAGCTGAAATAGTTAAATTTTAAACATGATGGCTTTGCCCAAGACTCTGGTAAAGTCACTGTGTTTGGCTTTCTCGGATGCTTATTGTTCACACAGAGGTTTCTGCTGGGGTAGCTTTGCCGACAAATGTTAAATTTTTCACCCGCACACGGATGGTGATAAGGATATCGGGGGCCGCTGATGCGTTTGCTCTGAGCATTTCTTTGCACACCGGTATATTTCAGCGTCTCTACGGCAACAGAGCGACTAAAAGCTTGCAAATAGAGCACGGGGTGCCGATTGCTTCCTTCATGAAACAGCAGACGCTCACAATTCAAGCTCGCGTTTGATTCCGTTGCCCGCGGGATACGATTTCTTTCAGAAAATCAACATTGTTTTCCTTTCGGCTCTGCCGTACGAATGACACATCGTAGCAGACGAACCCTTGTCGTTTGCTCCCGCTCCTCGCCGGAGCGAGGCATGACGGGATTCCAGTTCGGCGGACGCTCGATTTTCACGGTGCAGCGAGTGCATGTAGGCGTGGGGTGCCGCCGCTGAAACAAACTCGGAGAGTGCAACCACTCGTGGAGTACCGGCCGAAACGAACTCACTCCACGCTACGAGTGGGCACGCGTGGACACGAGTGCCGTGAAACGAACTCGCTATAAGCGTTACTAAAGGCGGGCACACGTGAGCGGTAAAACTGGGCGCCGCGCGGCGCTTGCCGCTCACCGCTAGGCGCACCACAGTCGGACTGCGTGGCTGCGCGCGGCTTGAGAGCCTATAGAAGTAGAGAGGGTCCATGTAAACCTTGGGGAGAGTTCTCTTCTAAATTTAATGGCGGACGCCTCCGGCGGAGATTGCACTCAAGTGTGCATGCGCTTTGTTTTCGCGTGGCAAGACGAAAATCAGGCGGAAAGGCGGAGCCACTCGCAGACGACCAACGCGTTCGTCACCTCCTCGCAGCTCGTACAGGCTTTGTGTGCGCGGCAAGGAGCGAATGTATGCAAGGCGAGCTGGTTACCAAACATAATAATCGAAACCCTGAGGCAAGGAGAGGGAAAACTTTCTCTACCGACCAGACCCGAGCGACGCGTCGGCGCCGTGAGGAAGTGACACAGGAACGCCTGCACCGCTTGCCATGCAGACTGTTAAGGCTCTGCTGTAGCAAACGCGGTGTAGCGCAGCGCACACGGATACTGACTGTCGCAGATAGCGAGTTCCTGCTCGACGGTTAATGAAACGTGCACGTTCTGCGCTACGCTGCGGTTGCTGTGTTAGGCGTCTGAGTATAACAGAAACTTTTACGTGGCTCCGCGCTGCGCCCGTTTTCGTCGTTCACATGTCACCTGCTCAAGGTTAGTGAAATGCGCTAGAGGTGGGTCAACTGAAACCCCTCCTTGGCGTTCTTATAGCTTGTCAGTGACAATGATAGGCTCACCCCCTGCATTTTAAGAGTAGAAAGAACCTTCGCTGTGTTCCAGACATATGACGGTATATAAGAATAAGCGTAAAAACGGAAAGAAGTCTCCACAATTGCCGCGTAATACGTGTTGGAAAAAAAAAGGTGAGCATTGCCAAGCTGTTTTATCTGTATTTTTTGTGTGTACGAATATTGTTTTTAATCCAGTAGCGCAGCGTTATCTCTAGCTTAAAAAAAATTCAAAGAGATTTTGTGTTCGTCGTGGGCTTTTATAGGAACATGGACTTGCGCTCTTTAATTCAAGCCACTATTTCGACAATGCTACTTTCTTTTTTTATTTTCTCCACCTGACATTGACAAGACGCGCAGGTATTAGGAATGCTGATTTATTTCAGATTGCACCAGCTAAAATAGCCCTTCCGGTGACTACATTCGTTCATGCAGACGTGGGAAAACGTCGAATAAAGTTATGCCGCAGTCACCGACAGGTTAGACATCGTGTTTACGTGTCTGATCTCGTGATTGATTCTCGGTCGTTCTTATCGGCCAATGTCGCAATCTCATTGGCTATGGAGCGATAATGAGATGTCCTGGAGCTTTAAGCTGGACACTCGGCGAAAAGTCGGCGAGATTTCTGCCGGCCGTGATTGGCCAGCGCCAAGGTCAAGTGCGGAGCTTGAAAATCGCGGCGGTCGGAAATCTCACCGACATTGTCTCCAAATGTCCAGCTTAGTGCCCCCGGGGTCGTAATTTGTAGATTTGACAATGACGGTCAGCGAAAAATTCGGCGTCTATGATTGGCCGTCGCCAAGGTCAAATGTGGCACTGGCCAATCACGGCCAACGGATTTCTAGCCGATATATTCGCCAAGTGTCCAGCTTAGAGCTCCTGGACTCTCCATGCCCCGCCTTTCCTAAACTGTCGGCGACTACACGGCAGGCAAGTGTTCTAAAATGCACGTGTTTGACGCACTGGAAGCCAAAACTTGGGATACGCTTGAGCTTCACCTTTGAGAATGGAACGCGATAGCGTTATCGGGACCCATTAGCAACGCCTTCTCATGGAAACCCGCGCTCGTTCCCAAGCCGCGCAGTGCCTGTCTAGTCGGTAGCGTCACATGTCATATGACGTCACGTGTGACGTCATGTAACGTAGCGCGTGTCGTAACTCGTGGCTGTGACGTCAAGACCCTATCGCCCCGCTAAATTTATCGGAAAATGGTCCGCAAAATTTTGGCGGGAAAATTGGGAGTTTTCGTAGACCGTTTTTCCTACTATATGCTACGCTCTCCACAACGAAGACGCCGCTAGTGCGCATACGCGCCGCTGGCTTTGACTGCAGAGTTCCGGATATCGTTGCGGCTTGCGGAGAGCCTTGCGGGACGAAAGAAGCGATCTAGAAGAACTCCCTAACGTTTTGCTCAATTTAGCGGGAAGTTTTTTCACCAAACCTAGCGGGTCGATAGGTTCGTGACGTTACACGCGTGACATCACACGTGGCTGCGTGGACGCCCGATTTTCGGCTGCACGAGCTCTTTATCGCGCGTTAAAAAAGGGGTACGCCAATCAGAGGGCAACAAGAGAACGCGTAAGGAACGCGCGGTATCGAGGCAGCTGCGCAAAATTTGTCCGTCATTGGTTGACGTTGGGGGTAAACAAACGCACGAGGTGCACAAGGAGCGGACCAACTTGCACGCCGTATATATTTTGTTTCACCCTACGATGCACTACAGCCGAAGAAAATGAACCACCAGCTCCAGTCACAAACTAGTTAGAAACCACGTGAGGTGTAACGGTGTGTGTATCAGTTCACTGAAATCCGCGTACCTACAAACACTGGCTGGTTGCATCACGCGCTTTCTAACCGGCACGTGATTGAACTTGGCGGCTCCTAGTTTCGGCTGTGGTCCCGTCAAATATGTTTGAAACAAATCTTCGGAAATCGCAATGGACATTTTGCGTGGAATTGGCATTTTCTACTTTTCACAATATTCATCTTGTCAAAAAGGACAGAAAACACACCTCCTTTCTTCGAAATGCGTAATCGCGAGGCAAAAATTAGAATATTCCCCGTCATCTATCCTATCCACAATCGCCATCTATCGTAGGTTCACAAAACCGTCAGCTCTATCTGCTACCGTGAACAGCCGCCAAAAGCCGGAGGAGGAGGGGGGCAGAGCCGGACTGGGGGGGCGGAACCAGAACGAGACTTTCTTCCTTTCACCATATTTTTCGCGCTGCGCCAGCACGTGGTCACGCTGTCGAGAGCAGATGAGTTCTCGCTGCTCACTGATGGGTCTGGAAAGGGAGCTTCACCGGAACCCCGCGCGACCCCCATTGACTTCGCAGCACACGTGACTCGGAAGATGGTGAAGGAGTTCAGAGGTGCCAAAAACCTAAACCTTTGTCTATTTTTAAAATAAAAAAGTGAAAGCCGTTTACAACTCCCTGTAACGCCGAATTGGAACGCAGCTCTTGAGGAGGAGGAGGGGAAGGGTACTGAGGGGAGGGTAGACCCCTCCTCCTCCTCCTCCTCCCCTCATTCTTTAATATGCTCCGGGGGATCACGTGACCTCGGGGGGGGGGTGTCACGTGACTTCGGGGAGGGGGTCACGTAACCTCGGGGAGGCGTGACCTGAGGTCACGTGACTTTGGGGTGACCTTAGGGGGTCACCTGACCTTGGGGTGACCTTGAGAGGGGTCACGTGACCTCAGGGGGTCACGTGACCTCAGGGGTCACGTGACCTCGGGGGGTCGCGTGGCCTTGGGAAGGGGGCCACGTGACCTCGGAGGGGTCACGTGGGGTCACCTTGGGGGTCACGTGACCTTAAAGTGATTTTGAGAGGAGTCACGTGACTTCGGGAGGTCACGTGACTCCTCTCAAGGTCACGTGACCTCGGAAGGTAACGTGACCTCGGGAGGCCACGCGACTCCTCGGGAAGTCATGTGACCCCTCTGGGACACGTGACCTGGAGGGGTCACGTGACGTTGGGGTGACCTTGGGGGTCACGTGACCTTGGGATGACCTTGGGTACGCCGACGGCGACGGCGACGGCGACAACGACGCCAACGGCGACGCCGCTCAAGCCGGAAACGAGCGCCTAAGAGCTGCGCTCTAAAACTAGAACACGCAGGCAAAAGCGGTTTTTTGCTCTTTACTTCAGAAAGGTCGAGACACCAACTCCCAAATTATTTAAGCAAAGCACTGAAATTGTTGCACAGCTCATTTAATTTGGAGGAACATCGCTGTTGAGAAACTTCACTTGCGGGATGATGTTAATACTGCTGCGTCTGTTCCCCGTGGACAACGACACACTGAATTGTGCAAATAGTCGTACGGAAGAAATCATGAAAACATACCTCTTCGAGTCCATCGGTACCGAGCTCGGTGACGTACAGCTGGAAGTCTTTCCGGAAACCGTGCTCGTCGAATTTTACGGTGCCTGTCAAACCGTCGAAAGCAACCTGCGGAAAATGAGCATTATATATACCATATGTTATGGCCGGGGTAGCTAAAACTTCAGAAGACCTGAAATACAGGTTCGTTCTTATTATAAATAAAAAAAGCTAGCTACAGGACAGCAGTATTTTCACCCCAAAAACGAATTACCAAAAAATGGTGTATACGCGCTCGCTGAAGCAGAAGTCTGAGTTGTCTTTCATGTCTTGTTAGCACGATCGAAGGAACTGACGACACATCGAGCACGATATGCCCTAGGAATAATGCATATACATTCCCTCATGCATGATATTATATATCATGCCATGAAAGCTCGAGGGAGGAAACTAACGACCTCCCTAGCGTTCTCTATCCTGCTTACGCTTCAAAAAAATGCCCGGGCGCGCGTAAAATTGGATACATGTTTACCAAACACAGAAGGCTACGTAAGAAGGAAATGGCATCCACCGGCTTTAAAGACGCTGCCACAACTGTTTTTTTTTGTTTTTTTTTGTTTTTGTCATCCGTAAAATTGTATTGCTGGGAGCAGAATTCCACACTAATAAAAAGCTCCCGTCTTTTGAAGCATCATCAGAATTTGCTCAGCAGGTCTCTATCGACCCAGCAGTGTTGTGCCCGTTACCGAAAATAAGTAACGAAATAGCGTTACTTCTTAGCTTGGGAAAAAGCGAACGCGTTACGGAGCTCCGTTACCATCTTGAAGATGTAACGCAATACCGGTTTTGTTACTTGCCATGATTAACGGACTTTACTCTTTCGTTAGTTTCTCGTTACTTTGCTTTTCACTGTTCGTATATGAAAGCTGTTTTCAATAAACCGCCTCTAAAAACTTTGGCCACAATACAACTGGTCGGGGTGACTATTCATTCATTTATTCACTTGTACTCTGCAGCGCCGGAGCATTAAAGCCGTGCAGTGGAGTAAAAATTCCCTTTAAACGTTGGAAAGTCACACAAACAGCACAAGCAAGGACACGACTATATAAATAAACAATTCAAAACAACATACAATATTAAAATTTCAAAATTTCAATAACCCCAAAAATACTAAAAAAGGAATTTACATTGCATTGATCAGGTTAATAAACGATTCACTGTTGGCAGGAGGTGTAATGCGTATCCTCGAACACGTGAGGCTTCGCGAGCGCGATACAGAGAACTGAACCTTGCCCGTAGCACCATGCCTGGGAAGAAGAGACCACTCTGAAAAGAACGACTAAATGCACGCCACGCAACGGACGCAAAATGAATCTCTTTATGTAATCAAAGTTAGTTTGGAAAAATAAACGTTATATTATTCCTTCGCAAACCAACGTCGCATTTCCTATTAACGAGACGTCAACACTTGGCCACCGCTGAAACACTTGTTTTTGTTCAAAGCGTGGGCACGTCAACGCTTCCAAACTTGGAGTTTATCCTTTCTGTTGCTACCAGAACGCGTGAATTTATTTGTTTTGAAGAGAAGGATGTGACCAGCTAGAGTAGCTAGGGACGCTGAGGCTAAATCCTTCGAGCGGCGGCAGACTGTTGCCTTCTGAACGGATGTCTATTTCCATCGTAACGGCTGCTTAGGGTATCGCGACAGTGATCCTAGCAGCTTTTATACAAAGATTGCACCGAGCACGCTTAGCGGTTCTGCGCAGCGATAATATCGCGCCTTTTGGTCGCGGGAACGTTAAAAGTGTCCTCAGAAAGAGTTTGAAATGACGCCGCTTATGCATAGCTTTGTTGGGCTTTCTTCGCCCCTTTCAGGAAGTGTACAGAATACGAATTGTTTTGTTTAAAACAGTCATGCAGCCATTTTTAATCAAAAGTAACGAGTAGTGGGTAACGTAATTTTATAGAAATACCGTAAAACAAAAACGACATTGCTTTACTCGTTCCTCTTTTGGGATTCTAACGAGAACATTAGTAGGTTAGTAAAACCACTAACGCGTTACCAGTAACGTCGTTACTCGTAACACGTTAGTTCCAACACTTCGACCCAATGCGCACGTTTCTCTGTGTTCATGGCAACGCTTTATTGCGTGTATAGTCCATATAAATAGGTTATTTACTCCTCTATTATGTTGGCTGCTTTGTTTTGTCTTCGCATCAAGGAACATTGCGATGGATGTGGCTACTTCACCTCAACAGTAAAAATTGTATTTTGTAAATATTTATAAAGAGATAAGTAAATTACGCCTGTTTGGTGCGTAAGAGGTTTTTGTGACTGCGGCTTAGGTTACGAGTCCAACATTTCATTCGATAATACTAGTAATCGGCCCTTCGGTGAACCGTTCTAATACTTGCCAGAGAAACTCTCAAATTAACGACGGAAATAATCCCTGCAGAAGGGGAACAAGAGGGAGAAAGGATAAACATAAAACATAAATCGTCATTCTTGTCCAGCTCGCTTGCACGTTAGCATTTGATTGCATTGTAATCATAAACTCTCAAATTGTTTTTGTTTTTAGTTGAGACAAGCAAAACCGTTTTAATGTTGTGTAGAAGAATCTGAGAAACACGATTTTTGCACAAAACAGCTAACCTGCGTTTTTCGCATTCATCTAAGAGTAGTGATAGCATGGCATCATGCTTGTGTGCATTTTTGTTGTGATATTAATGTGATAGATTGCAAGGTTTGAATCAGGGAATCATTCGTACTGCAGGACGACCGTTTGCTTCATGTCCTACAAGCTTTTGATCACCAAGAATAGTGCCTTCTATACCCACTCTGTATGCTGCATCCCTGACGCTTATGCGTCTCCCGGCGCACGTTGAAATGATGCGCGCGTCATGCGACGTGACTATGTAGCTATTGGTTTTTAACATTCAACACGATTGGTGTCTAGAGCAAGCTTGATATGGGCATTTGTTGATCTTGTACTTCAATCGCATCAATGCATATTTTACAGAGCTTGAACAAGGTGAAAAGTGTAGAAAATCTGCTCAATTCATGTAACATACAGGAGAGAACTAGAAGCCTGTGATATACAGTTTGCAAGGTACCAGAGCAGCGCAGTTATTATGACAAGTATTTGAGTTCCTGTAATTAGTGATACTATTTGTAATTAAATATTGTCAAGTTACACTGAAATAATTATGAACGTAACCTTTTCTTGTCACATTTTTATGCAATTTGTAAAAGTACCTTAGTTATAATTCCGTGTAACATACGACTGTAACTCAGCTTCATTTTTGAAAATGCTTGACCTGTTACTTCTTAGGGTGGTATTTGTCAAGCACAACACCAGTCAACCAAGCAGTGCAGCGGTTAAACGAAAGCTCAATATTGGTTGCCTTGTAATGTCCAAGTACAGAGCAAGCTTCTCCGACCAGACTTTTGATCAAGTCTTGTTCTCATAGCGTAACATGCCTCTTCAAAACTTTTAGTCTTTAGGAACTTTTATTTCTTATGCTTTTTCAGGATGTAAACTTGTTTCTGGTTAATTTATTTTGCTGCCTAAGTAAATATTACAGTGAAAAGTTATTGTTGGAACTTCTTTTCCTCGTAATATGTCTTCGTTAGTTTGTTATTTCTATGGATTCTCATTGAACGAGTGAGTTTGGTGAGGGTTTATTGCACCTATCAATGTATTGTAGTAAATTGCGTTAAATGTTCATTCGCAATTCATCTATTTTTAGCCCTGAGCTCTATCCTACCTGTCTGAAACCTTGTTTTAATAGTGGGACAGTTAGAAAGGGTCCGAACATATACATGTTTTGGAACTGAGCAGCGCGTTCGTAATCCCGTGAGATTCCAATTAACACCAATGTAACTTAGTTACATTTGTAGTAACTGTAAATTCAATGAGTTACAAAAGGAAGCGTGGAAATGCAACTCTAATTTATTGATATTTCAACTCTATTGTAAATGTTACTGGAAATTGTTTTTATTAACGTTTACAGACCTCAAAGATGCATATGAACCGCTCAATCTATGGTCGAAAACTCAAAGGTTAAATATTTTAGAAAGGCTAGTGAGCGGTATGGGTCCCCTTCATTCTCAACTCTTGCATCAGGTTATTTTTAGAAAACGTCGTATTCTCGGTTATTTTGTTTTGGTAAACATATTATTCTGATGAATTTTCAATGTTTCGATTTGCCGAGATATCAGCACTACTCCCTTGGTATTAATAAAAAAGGGTGGTGGCGTGCGGCGAGTAATTACTTCGACAAAATAATTACGAATGTGAACTAGTAACAGAATTCACACAGGTCATAGCTGAGTTTTAGATTTCTTACCTTTTTGCTGTGGTAACTATATTTTTGCTGTACTTTGTCATCCAAAATCTGGAAGAGTGGCTAATTTGATTGGCTTTGATGATGACTTCGAAGTTGCATAACAGAAAGCAAGTATACTTTTTTTCTTAATGAAACTTTTAACAATTTTTTTTTAAAACACAAATTATAAACAAGTTTTTAGTTCAGTGATCGATTCCAATTTTTTTTTCAAAAAATTATTGGAACATGATTAACAAGGATCCCATGTCCAATATCTGCATTTATAGATTTTTTTACTAGCAATCACGATCAATCCTCGGTCAATGCTAATCCTCTCGGCACTGATATCTGTCAGCATTTACCAATATCTATGTTGATAAATAAACCTCAGACACCTAAGAGATACCAATCGACGATTACTACCAAAGTTCAAGATATGACAGACACTACGCCAGAAATTTTCGTAACGTTTTAGGTGCAGTTTAATATAACCGTATTTTTTTAAACATATTTTAATTCTACATATGAAACATTTCAAGAGATATATCAAAATCTTTATGACCAGAGTTTTATATTTAAGACAGCCAAACAATGTAAAACGATTTGTAAGCCGTACGGAACTCAAGAGTTTCTGGTTGAAAAAAACAAAAATTATAGCTGTTTCAGCATTTCTTCAAAACAAAAAACTCTGGTGACATAAATTCTCGAAATAAATTGATTAATTTTTATAGACGTGTTAAATTTAGTTCTAACAGTGATTGTTAAAAAGGAAGATAACAGACAGGCTATATATTAATATT